AAACCCCCTGCTGCTGTCTAGCACTGGCCGCGTGGAGCTCGCGCGCTGATCAATGAACACAGGTAAAATCTTTATGCTGACTTTAATCCGACAGTGCTGACTTATCGGACCGTGCTGACTTTAATCCAACCGTTCTGACTTTTAAACGACAATGCTGAGTATAACCCAACCGTGGTAAATTAAAGTGAATTTCAGTAAAAAGTCAGCATTGTTGGTTTATAGTCAGCATTGTACGAGTATAGTCAGCATGGTTGGGTTATACTACCATATTACGAGGATAGTCAGAATTTAGTAGCACTAGTGATGTGAAATCTGCCAGTATCTATGAAAGCCATTTTGTCATTCAAAACATTCGACACTCAAGCTAGGTCCCTGGGAAGTTTAGGGATTGCTCCACCACCTGTCTATCAACCAGGAAAATCAGTTGCCTACTTGTACCTGGGTAGAAACCTTTCAGCAAGCCAATATCATATATGTAAACCGTCACCGTGCGCGCGCAACCGTAATTCAGTCGGTGAAGGGGGACCCACAAGGACACCATCATGCTTCTCTACCGGCTATTCAGATATCAAAGAGGCCTTGATACATTATAAGTGGAGTATCGTATCTGTGCATGAAAAGGAGAGTACGGGTAGACGACACAGAGGTTGACGACCCGTAAATTAGCTCTGTTGCATTGTTTCAAGGCCTGCAAGTAACATGCCTCTAAAACCATGGAAGGTCACCTATTTCAATGGCCGTGGTAGGGCGGAAGGTATCCGGATGGTACTCGTGGAGGCTGGGGTGCCGTTCGAGGACATCCGTATCACCAAACAGCAATGGGCAACAATGAAAGAATGTAAGTTCATACAACTGTGTACTTCGTTGTCACAGCCTTGTATACAGACATACATAGTAATTAAAGGTAAACATTCGTGGATAGCAGCAATCGTGTAGCGTTATTTGCACCATGTAAACAAATACACCTAACAACCATGAAGGTTTATTGACGTGTTGGTTAATTATTCACATCGTAAATCCGGCATTCGAGAGCACGTTAGTACACGTGGACGCATCAGAGTGGATATCCTCAGATAAAATGCTAATTTATACGACTCCAGTATGACATGATGTATATTTATTACAGTCTAATGCATCCTCGATGTTCTGGGGTTACGCGCTCTGCACCCCTGGAATATGTCATAGCAAAATTGAAGGCACGAAGATAGCTGTTTGATTGGTCTCGGGTAAAAAACCCACCTGACCAATAGCTAGGATGATGCCTGTCATTTGAAGATTACAAAGGAGACACGCTCGACTTCAAAGTCTGTCATTTTTTACCAATACATGACCGCGAGATTCTTTTAATGTATATCAAAGGATCAACAAGGTGGCGCACACTGAGCGTTCAATTTTGCTATGACATATTCCAGGGATGTAGAGAGCGAAAGTGAGCGTAACCCCTGGCTATCAAGGATGAGTCTAATGGTTGTCATACATGTATATATATATATATATATATGTGTGTGTGGGGCAAAGAAGTAATTCCAATAGTGTGGACAAGTTTAGGTTGTCAAATTTTCGGAGCGATCCGCTCCTTTTTCAAGACACAGTGAAACAGAACAGTTACATGTACATATACATCATATTACAAGAAGATAGAATTGATATACTATAATTAAAAATATAGCTATTATATAAAACCAATAGTCCCCTCGGCTAAAGACAGCCGAAGGCAGCAATTAAGCTGAGAGCATCGCGAACAAGGAACGCTGATGTAGAGGACCTATTCTTGCGCAAGATGCCAACGGTATATACATGTATATATACCGTTGTCCTGACACTTGATGCATGGGTCAAGTTTAAGAGGAGTGTCATGGACCGAATATCGACAATTCCGTCTTTATTCCGGATTACCCTCCTGGACACCTTGTGGTTTTCCCCTTGTACTTTGTCCGTTACAATCTTTCCTTTATAAATATTTTGCTATATTTTTATCGATCTTGAATTTGTGTTATGGATTTGTTGCCATTGAGGTATTATTTCCTGGGAATGTCAAATATCATTTATCAAAATGGAAATCAATAACTGGATAGGTTTAGAAAATATATTTCATCGATGCTTGTCCAAAATAACTCGTTCGAATTATACACGAATTTAAAGGTTTTTGTTTAAAGGTAAACACTCTTGAGTGACTTAGGGAACACGGGTTTAGTGATGTGATTCATACAAAATGGCAAAAGAGAAATTTGATCCTGTGGAACAAATATTTGTTTAAAAAGACCGATCATTTTAACGTATTGTCCTTATATGAACTGGCGTTTATTGTAATACACTACTTTCAGCGTGCAATGAGCTATTTTTGGTATATGTATGTCTTCCTCGAGCGACGTTATAATATATATTCAATATAAACAATTGACAAAATAGGTAAACAACATAAGGTAGCAAATGTGACATACTAGTCACCATAATGATGTAAAGACAGGCCATGTAACGCTTACACTTACTGTAGTCAGTAGACAGCACAGAAAACATCCACTATTCTACAGTAACCAACTTAGTAGTAATGTCATATACGATTATTCAACTGGAAACACAATAACTTCTATTAATATAACTACGTCTCTACTCTAGAATTATGCATTAGGAGCTAATCAGTTACCCTGCTGTTTTTTTTTTTTAATAAATACAAGATAAAGGTGGTACACGACAGGCGTCAGAAAAATGTGGTTGTTTAATACTTTGGCCGTGGGAAGTTAAAACGAACTAAAATGTGTTTAAGCAATATCGTCTAATCAAATACATCAGGACGTAAATAGAACTACAAATGTAGGCATAGGAAATTAAATTAGTTGCCTATAAGTGTAGTGGCAAAGATATCCTGAGCAGTAGTAATATTAATTTAATTAAATATATCAATCAAAATAACACATGAGTTCATGTAGTGTAGCCTACACACGCGTATGGTCTAAAACACGTTACATTAAATGACTCTAGATGTTTTTCTTTTTACGAAGTTAAGTTAAAACGAGATATCGAAGAATCTTCACTTGTTTCACATTGATATTGTATGTGTCTTATAAATTGTAGAGGTGCCAGTTTATCAATATACTGTTTAAACTGAACTCAACTGAAGACTTGGAGTGGGTTTCGTTATTATAATATGAAAATGGAAACACATTTAGTATCTCCTCCATTACCTAGAACATATCTGAGTATTTGCAACAATTTTTTGTGTGTGACCATTTTCAAGGCTTCAACGTCGTCATTTCGACCTCGCCGTCGTCATCAGTTCTTGGTCGTAATAGTTCTGACATCATGGTGGGTGATTTTCAATAATAGGCACAAACGTACAACATAAAATAGGGTGTGTTTTCTGTATTTAACTTGGAATAAACACATGTACAAGAAAAACGCTCCACTGACTGTTCATTTTCATCAACAGTTTTCATAGATATCTGTAAATTTTACATTGTTCATGTTGAGGTAGACGTAGCACTGAATGCATAGATGGACACTGAGACTATCAAATTCAGTGAACATCTTTTTTCATTACAACTTTGTTCAGGGTCCCTGTCCTTCTGGCGACCAAAACACTAGATCATTCTCTGCTAGTGTTTCTTACTTACAGTTAAACCCATTATTTATACATGTTACAGATGAAGGAATATGTAAGGTGCATGTGAACGACTCACAACCCTAATATATTCCCGATATCTTGCTTTCTAAAAAGAAGGTAAACAGTAATCCTTTGTGTCCAATATAAAAATAATTTTGTTATGTTAACTATAACAAATACTGTAAGAATGTATCTCGTTATAATTGTTCATTCTTTGCGAGGTAAAATGTACGTACGGTACTTGTCACAGTCATAATGGCGTCGTGTCAAAACCTATGGTATTGGATATAAGTAGTAACCTGTCTTTGTTGATGACTTACAGCCACGCCTACACACACCCTTCCCATCCTGGAGCTGGAAGACGGAACCGTTCTCAGTCAGTCATCGGCCATCCTCAGATACCTTGGTAGGAAATTTGGTAAGCACACTAAATGTATTCCTGCTACATTAGTAATAATTTTTCAGTTTTGAATGTATTGACCGTGTCAAACCTTAGTCAAATATTTAAACTCAATTTGGATAAAAAGAAAGAATCGAGATACAAAGTTCTAAAGGTTACCTTTGATTATCGTTTCAGATATTTACATTGTATCTCCTCTTGATAAAGAAAACGTCCCTTCTAAAAGTGTTTGTGTTGACTTTCAATTACAGATTATGTCGATATCGTTTAAAAATTGTGTCGTCATAAGTAAAACCGAATGTCAGTGGCAGACATATACTTTTCTGTTCTGGCTTTCAACGATTTTACATTTACCCTATATGGATCAGATTCGACTCTAAAATGACTATGTCGTAAACGATGCTGTTAACGAAACAATTTTAATAGGTATGTACAGTGACAATATCACGGAGCAGTACAGAATCGACTTGGTCATGAACATGATAGATGATTTAGTGGACAAGATACTTGTACCAACACTTTTGGAGAAGGACCCCGTTCTGAAGGCAAGTACGGATATCTGTGCTACATTGCTTTTAAAAAACTGTGTTACATTGAACAGATAAATGGTCACGTAACCACGCAATATCACGTGTATTACACGTCCACATAACTGATAATACGTACGATCACGTGATAGTCACAATGCGATTTCCCAAAACGTCGTTTATTCCAATCATTGACTGCTTTGTTGTGTATATGCAGTCGTTCTCTTATTAAGGAAAGGGTTTTGCTTTTGCAGAAGATTTTTAACATATTTATCTGTTGAGGAATTTCAAATCGTACTGTATCTGTTGTCAACCTCAACAAAGCCTTCTCATCAAATAGCAAATGAGTCAATAAAGTTTAAACTTTTATGAAGAAAATATTTGATAGTATAAGTAATCATGTAATAAAAGAGTTATTTAACGTCTGATGGTATTGCCAGAAACATTTGTCCCTCAGTCAGGAAGTTGGGAATGTGTTATGTATCACGAGAACGCAAGCTTCTCTAGTCAAATATGTGTAACCATACTATGGAAATACCTCTATAATATACCCAGTGCGAGAAATATTAGGATAAAAAGCAATTTGATAAAAATATCCGTGGAAGTCGCGAAAAAAGGGATGAAAAACGACTTTCAATAATAAAAACAAACCAAATGAATTATCAAATAACTTTTCAGGCCGGGAAAATGAAAACGGTTGAGGCCGAAGATTTACCTGGTTACATGAAAGTACTAACAAGGGAACTCAAAGCAGGAGGTAATGGGTTTTTCGTCGGAACAAAGGTATTAGTGCCATGATAGATAACGAATAAGAGAAACCCCGTAAACCTTTCTTAATCCAACGCTACATGGACAGTGACGAAACATGTTCTATATAAATGTGCTTGTATTGTGACGTAGTTGAAGGTTGATGTCAACTTGTTGATAACAATATAATCAGAATTTGACCCTTTAACATATTCATTATTTTCCTAAGAGCTTGTTTCTAGACAAAATATATTATGTTATGGACTACTGATTGTAAAATTATTCTTGTTGTTTCCTGTCTTGGTCTCGGTATGATGAAAGTTTTGTACAAACCCTAAAGATGATCAACACATCTCACTATACTTCTTTTTTTTTCTGTTTAAGCTTTCTATAGCCGATGTCAAAATCTTCACTGTCATTGAAAACATTGCAGGCGCTTTTCCAGCAACTATGGCAAAATGGGATGACTTAAGGGAATTCAAAAAGAGCATAGAATCTCGACCTAGGATAGCTGCTTGGATAAAGGATAGACCGAAATCATGGTTCTAGGTTGTTCTTTGGACAGAGTCAAACAATAGAAGTCTCATTATTCCCGTGAAAGTCTGTACATTTCATTATCATAAGCAAATCACTCGAGAGACATGATTCATTTCTATTCGTGATGGTATGTTATGGCTGTGAATACGCTGTGTAATGTAGAATACTTGCAATGTTGTAGGGGGAAATTCTCAAAAACGTCATTTATTTCGAAAGTTGAATGTCAGTGTGTGTGTGTGTGTGTGTGTGTTTGGGAAAATTAAGACCACCATCTTTCCTATTCACGTTTTGTCATCATAACCAATAAGCTTTTTTTTTCAATTTTATATAAAGATAGACACATTTTAGAATATTGCATTATTTTGTTCTGTTATGTTTCGTCCTTTGTCTCTTACAATCTTTCAAACTTACATCTATTTGGGTGAGCTTTTTATGAAAAGATATATATAAGATATAGGAGGCACGGTAGTCTAGTGGTAAGACGCCGGGCTCTTGACCGAAGGGTTGCGGGTTCGAGTCACGGCACTGCACTGTGTTGTATCTTTGAGCAAGATACTTTCCTCCGCCGCTTGTTCCAGTCTACTCAGCTGTAAAAGAGTACGTGGTTGGGCAGTGCTAGAATTGTTGAATGCTCGCTGTTGGTGCCGAAATGGCAGCTCCGGCTGTATGCTTCCCGGGTGTTGAGAAAAGTATTGGCTGGTTGCAAAGGCCCTATAACCAAGGATGCTAATTTGTGAACCGCTTTGAGACGACCTACGAACAAAGCGGTATGTAAGAACCTCGAGTTATTATTATTATGAATTATATATGTATGGTGCTCCAGATGGCAGAGTGTCTTTATATGGGTGGACACCGTTGTACCCGGAGAATACCCACGTCGGACAGGTGACCTTACCTTCATGTCCGGGGGATCGGGGAATCGAGATCTGACCGTCTTGGTGGTAAGCGAATGCGTTATCCACTGCAACACCCTACCACCAATCATGTACAGTTTATTTAGTTTTGACAGTATTGAACATTTATTTTCATTGGTATTTATCAGTAGATGCCACACATCTTCAGAATATTTTAACTTAATGTTGTTCGGACATTTTGCTGCACAATATTGTCACGTGTCAAGGAATATCTATCAATAATGAAAAAAAAACAATCCTGAAATGCCGTGAACAACATTAAATAACATTTTAGAATGTAGATCAAATGTTGAGGCCAGTGAAAATAAACTGCAGAAACCATGAATATGTCCGTTAGCTGAAGAAGTTTCAGAAATAATTTAATTAACGCAAGAACAGAATAATATGATTCAAAGAATTCAAAGAGCAATGGTTAATAATTTTAAAGAACTGAGAGCGTAAACGAAACCAAACTCTTTAGTACAAAAGAATAAACTTAAAGGATCCAGAAACAGAAATGGCTGAAATACATCAAAGGATAACTAACTACACATGTTTTAAGTGGAATCAACAGCGCAAAATCAATTTATATGTATCGATGTCTTCAGTTTCGAAGATTGCTGCCAGAATGAATCTAAGTTGAGACAAACTACCTATTTACAAACCTTTTACACACACATTCGTGTCGAACATTTCAAACTGATCTACTCGAAAGAAACTAAGGCAATTTACGTACACAAGTTTTTAACATTATGATAAGGTGAAGGCGATAACGAAGTATCATTTGAACTGCTCTCGCACCGGATATGATATGACGTTTTATATGCTACCATCGTTACAGTAACAACGCATGATATTTTGTTGTGGAGTGAGCCACCATAATTAAACATATAAAAACATTACATCTGAAGAAGCTTCACTGCTCAAACTCGACTGTAGGTATTTGCCGCTGGTAGATATGATTAGCATGAATATTTTTTCAATGTGAAATGTGTATTTCTGGACAAACGAAGGACATTGATATGGCTTGGACAGACCGTCTGAGGGAAATATGACTATACAAATACTTTAACGAATTCACAACTTTTAGCTATAACAGATAGTCTACAGTATATTTAAACTGAAATCGATGTACGGAGTATCGCTGTTTTAACGTAGCGCTACGGCCATCCTCGGGGACTGATAGTCTACCAGCAGAGCTCGGCCTTCCTTGGGGACTGATAGCCCACCAGCAGAGCTCGGCCATCCACGGGGACTGACAGTCCACCATCAGAGCTCAGCCATCCTCAGGGACTGATAGCCCACCAGCAGAGCTCGGCCATCCTCGAGGACTGATAGTCTACCAGCAAAGCTCAGCCATCCACGGGGACTGACAGTCCACCAGCAGAGCTCGGCCATCCACGGGGACTGACAGTCCACCAGCAGAGCTCGGCTATCCTCGGGGACTGATAGATCACCAGCAGAGCTCGGCCATCCCTGGGGACTGATAGTCCGCCAGCAGAGCTCGGCTTTCCTCGGGGACTGATAGTCCACCAACATAGTTCAGCCATCCTCGGGGACTGATAGTCCACCAGCAGAGTTCAGCCATCCTCGGGGACTGTAACTGTACGAAGAAACGAGGTATTTTTCCGAAAACTTTGTACATAGAGAAAGTCAAACTAAGAAAATATGTTCTGCACGATATTGCCATGACGTCCATTTAGACCCCATCAAAGGATGCTGAGATCAATCATGAATTCGTGCGTATTTACATAAAATTATAATACCTGATTATTATTTGTTCGACCCAGGGTTAAGGTATGTTTTATTTGACCGAGTAAAATTGAAAAGACACAACTTGGATACAGTCGGATCTCTGGAGTTATTCCTCATACAATGGTAGCGATACACACTACAATGTACAGCTAGATATTATATTTTCTGATTCCTTACGAGTCCTTTAACAGTTGTATTATTATTCCTTTGGTCGTCTCTGCAGCCAATTCTTGATTTCCGGAATTTCCGTTACCCTTTTGCAATGCGCCTCTAGTTTCTCGTTTCCGGTATAGGCCTTTACCGCGTCATCGCCGTAAAAACTTTTGATTCCATCAAAAATGCTGAATACATAAAGATCAGCGATCGTCACCTGGAAATACATAATAAGACCATACCGTTTTTAATAAAATTAAATAGAAATTGTTTGTACGCAATATGAACCACTGGCTAAACAAGATACATTCATACGCGCCGCACAGCTGTGAACACGTAATCGGGAACATACCAAGAAGAGAAGCACATATTTGAAAATTTGGTGTAAAGATGCAGAAAGCAACACAGTTTTTTTCTGTGCGAAAGGGCTGTTTCGTTAGGATTTATCAGTGGTACTACGGTTAAGAAAAGGACTAAGAAACCCATGCCTTAAGTGTTCTGAAACATATGTAGAATACAGCGAAAAGGAACGGTTACTCTAAACTCTTTATGTGATACACCTTTTAGCGAGATAGGGTCCTTGTTTTGTAAGGCGTAATCAAAATGTGTATGCAATACACATTCCTAATGTAAAATCTTTGTAAATTTATTCAAGACAATATCTCTATGATGGGAATAATGATGCCAAACAATATATGCACAAACAAGGGTACCCATTGGCCAATAAACATTACTCAGAAGCTAGTTCTGTATTATTAAAGACGAATCAAAGGGCATCACGTGGTTAGCGAAGTATTATGTATAATAAACTGGCTTACAGTCGATCCAACCATCCAGCCGTTGCCGCCATTGTTGTTACACAGAATCTCATAATAAATCGCCACAAATTTCGGTAACGTTGTGTCAAAGAAATTCTTTATAGCTTCAGTCTGAAATTAAATAAAATTAAGCCATAAAGATACGCTAATGTAAAGTTCCCATTAACAGATGATAAACATGAACTTTGCTTCAACTCGTCGGAAATAACTTACATAAACTGTTTAATACGTATATAAATACGATTAAAATAGAAACAGAAAAGCTGCCATTGTTTTGATATCTCTGCCAATATAGTTAATGAACCGTATATTGAGGAATTTTCATAAACATCGCTAATTAGTATAGACAATTTCACATAGAACGCAAATAGCAGATATTTTCACATACGCAACATGGATCTCATAACAAATTAAGATGTTTTCACATATAACGCTAATCAATGTAGATATTTTTACATATACGTAACGTTAATCAATATTGATATTTTCACATAAAACGCTAATCAATGTAGGTACAGTTACATAAAGCACTAATCAATGTAGATAATGTTCACATATAACGCAAATCAATGCAGATAAACTTCAAAGTTAATGCAGATCTGTAGGTCATCACAAACAATCAATGCCTATCCATGTAAAAAATGCCAACACAAAAAACGTTTTTACTAAAGATAAGAACATACTTTCTTGTCCGGGTCCTTTTCGTAAAAAAACTTGATAAGATCTTTGACAAAATCCTCGGTGGTTTCTAAGATGACGTCTACTTCAGTGTTCTCCGTATTGCCGTTACCATACAGTCCTGGAAAAGTACACACAAACACGATTTATTATCTCATACCGAGTCATCCCAGTTGAGATGGAACCGGTCTGTGCCAGTTTATAGTAAACAAGGATTAAAATGTACACGGCATCTAACCGATTACGTTATTATAACAATGAACTATTGTTCTTTTTACATAGTTACTGCATACTTCCCACCTCTCACAATGGAAAAATGTGGGCAATAAATCACTTGCTACCACAGTCCACTGCACACATAATCCCCTTTCAAGGCCAATCATGATTACATGACCATGAAAGGGGGTGTGCCCCGTGGACTGTGGCCACAAATGCTGTAAGAAAGGGTAGATAATCAATCAGTGAGTAACGATGAAGTCAATACAGTAGAGGATAAACTTAGTTGACACATTCCAAATAAGGGGAAAAAATGAAAGTTAAAAATGGTAATTTCATGATTGAAAAACCCAAACAGATTTCCTTATCACGTGAGAGGATAAGCATTTCCCGGAAAAGTTTATAATCTTAAGGAGCTGTTCCTTTATATAAAATTGCACATTCAAATATACCATTCATTGAAAGAACTGGAATACCTTAGGGATTGATAAACCCTTTCATTGTATGTATGAAAATGGTTTCAGTATCCTGTACCTTTGCCACATCTTGAAAATTAAACTGAAAATGTAGTCAGAAATTCAACATTGTTTCCCGTATTTTGAACAGACACTCCTTACCTTCCCTGACACTGGACCTGGATAGTAATCCAAAAACACTTGTATCCATTATGAAGGATACACTCAGACTGGGCTATTGAGAATCTTACCTGGTTATGATTAGTACTCACTCACATAGGTACATGTAAATTATCTGCAGTGTAGGGTAGGTAAAAAGATTGTCCAGGTGAACATTTTTTACTCAACTTTTCTGTTTTGTTCGAGTTGGGAAGCATGCAGTAAGCCAGTTATTGCATGATTTCTCGTCACTCGGGACTTATTACACCCTCGCTTCGCTCGGGTGTAATAAATCCCTTATTACTCGAAAACCATGCAATAACCTTTACATGTTACCCTTCACTTGTTCACTTCCTTACGTATGATCAATACAATATTCCCATACTTTAAGGATGTACACCTCTGAGAAGTCAAAAATTCCTGTATTAAACTTTTTTTCTTATATGGATTTTTGGAAAAAGGAGTTAATGGCATAGTAGAAAATGCAAAAAATAATATATGTCGGTGTGTTCGTTTTTGTGTTATGATCGGTCAAAGATACCAATTTAACAAAACATGGGATTTTAGGTGATTTTTTGGGTTTTCACCATTTGCAGAACAAATTCATACAATCTTCCAAGTTTGTTATCAGATATGTATGAATGTTTGTAGAATTGATGAAAATATTATTTTCTTTTGAATTATGAAAGTAAAATGTCTAAATCTTATTCTTTTAACTCAGAAAGCCGATTTTAGTTACCCCTTCCCCCTATTTTTTAATAAAAAATGCTAATTTTTTACCATTTTTTGCAGATTAAACGCCTGATATAAAAAGTTCTGGTATTAAACGTTTTTTTAATATTTAATGAATTAAATGAAAATTTGTTTCTCTTTCTAAAACATCTACAAACATGGGGGGTCAGTGTGCTTTTTTTTGTCCCTTTATCATTTGTGTTATTCTTTACCTTTTTCGGGATTAAAAAACAAAAGTGCTTCAGTTATGTAAAAAGTGTAAAATAAATATCAATAATGTATAATTTTCCTGTTTGTTGCCTATTATTTTTATCATATTGAACATTATAAAAATGTACAGCAAAATTGAACCTGCTATAATCAAAAATGGCGACACAATGACAATTTAAGTGATCAATCTAGTGTCAAAAAAGGTGAAATTTTGGCCTTTTTTGAAGTGCAAGTAATACACATTAATACACATTTTTAAAAATTGCCGCCGAATTGGTCATTTTTTTAAATTCTTGTAAAAGAAGTTCTACAAACAACAGGCATTTAGTTTTTTGACATATTTTTCAGATGCGTGTTTGCTAATAAACTTGATCATAATTTGTTAAATATTACAAAAACCAATTACACCAGATCGAAACGAGACTTAAACGTGATTGAAACCTCAGAAGAGTACATCCTTAAGGGTGTGACAGAGAAATCTCCATCCCAAGGGATGATTTCTTTGGGTGTCTTATGCGAGGCTCTGTCGATGGTTTGACAACCAAATAACAACCCCTAGGGTTGGAGATTTCTCGCCTAAGGTAAGAGAATTATTGTTTTTCTCGTTCAAGGTAGAGCATGATTGTTTTTCTCCCATCAGTCCAATACTATGTTTAAAAACATCACTTTTCAGTATTTGTAATCTCTTTGTTATCCTGATTTGCATACAAGCTCTCCCGTCAAGAGCTGATTATTAGGTCATATCTGATTATTCCCGTTACGTCAAAGTAGTGTTTCTTTCTGCGTGCAATCAGTCATACCCTAGGGGTGACAGAAAAATCCTAATAGATTCAATGGGAGGAAAAGACCTCCCTTAAAATGCTAAATGGAAAGAAACAATACAACGACGTCAGGAGAACAATTATTCATGACGTCACAACCTGCTTTGGTCAGACATCAATTGCTAATTAAACATACCAGACTACAGACAGTAGAGTTGTGATTGAGATAGTATGCTGGAATAATATAATATCTCACCTCCTTGAGGGTGAGATAGGGGATTCTCTTACCCTGGACAGGTGTATCCACACTTTGACCGATTTGAGATTAATAGAATCTTTTACTACCTTGAGGGTGTGACAGAGAAACTTCCAACCCGAGAGGTGATTTTTCGATGTCTTACCCGAGGGTCTGCCGAGGGTGAGACAACCAAAAAATCACCTGAGGGTTGGAGATTTCTCTGTTACACCCCTAAGGTAAGGGATTACTAATTTTCTCCCATCCGACTAGTTCAGTCACAACTCCATCAACAGTAGTGTAAACAAAAACACATGTGGGGTATGCATATCGTCATTCACATTTGATGACGCCACAATTACTGGTGACACATTTTTATGACGTCATAATTGTACACGTGCTAATCGGCACGAGGCTATCTCCCCCTAGGGGGTGACAAGCTAATCTAAACCAGAGGGTTGATATTCCCCTTTCTCACCCTCAAGAGGGTGAATGATTCTTTTTCGCTTACCATGTTCATCCCTTATATATCATATACATAATGTAATATTTCAATTCCTACTCAAGTTGTACTCAATGCAACTAACAAATGTAACCTGTTTCATTTGCCTATGAAATTGACAAAATCAACATTGCATGTGCATATGATTTTGTAAAGGGAGATAACTATTGACATGTTTAAACGAAGAAGATACCACTTGATGAGATTTTACATTTTCATTGAAGCTACACAAGGAGTTGTTCAAACAACCAAAAACAATAAATTATGTACTTCCCTAGAAATTCCCTCTAGCTAACCATTCTGCCTCTTGTATCAGTATCAACCCTTGGTACAAATTGAAAACAATATAGATCCATGTGGTCCTGTCTTATATGAAATGCAGTCGAACAGTCATATCAAATTGTTTCTTCTTTTTAAGCCACGTCTGGTTCCTGTCTAATTCGACGTTCAATTACTGCAGTTTTACATTCCAGAAGATCTAGAACCCCGAAATTCAGCGGCTCTCCACTTCGAGCTAGTAAAAAGATGGCTGCCGTAGACTCGCAGCTGAGCCTAGCCATGTGCACCGCGTCTAGACATTATCCTTCCGGGATGACGCGTCAGAAAATATATTATAGATTCATCAACAAAAAATTAAATATGACATTTAAAATATGGAATTGTGTTTTGTTTCTATATAATTTGGCTGTATTAAACTATCAACGTACACCATCATGTTGTGTGATGGTCCTTCAATGACAGACTATATTCTTTTACATTACGTCAATACGTAGATTTGCACAAGATCCAGAACCTGGGACAAACTGAATGAACTTCACAAGTTTCAGTTATAGTAAAAACACACGTTGATTGAAATATAAGGTTTGAATTTTGCTTTGGTCGATGTCATGAGGTGATGTCATGACAGGACTTGTCCCCGCGCGTCGTAACGTCACATCATATTACACAGTCATACCACGTCTCCGAGCGACGTAACGTGACATCATACTTCACTGACATACATCGTCTCTGAGCGTCGTAACGTGACATCATGCTACACGGTCATACCACGTCTCCGAGCGTCGTAACGTTACATTATACTACACGGTCATATCACGTCTCTGAGCGTCGTAACGTGACATCATACTACACGGTCATACCACGTCTACCAGCGACGTCACGTGATATCATACTACACTGACATACCACGTCTACGAACGTCGTAACGTCACATCATACTTCACGGTCATACCACGTCTCTGAACGTCGTTACGTCACATCATATAACACGGTCATACCAGGTCTCCGAGCGTCGTAACGTCACATCATATTACAATGTCATACCTCGTCTCTTAGATTCGTAACGTGACATCATGCTACAGTTTCATATCACGTCTCCGAGCGACGTTTCATGACATCATAATTAACGGTCATACCACGTCTCCGAGGGACGTAACGTGACATCATACTACACTGTCATTCCACGTCTCCGAGCGACGTAACGTGACATCATACTACATGGTCATACCACGTCTCCGAGCGACGTTACATGACTTCATAATTAACGGTCACACCACGTCTAAGAGCGTCGTAACGTGACATCATACTTCACTGACATACATCGTCTCCGAATGACGAAACGTGACATCATACTAAATTGTAATACCACGTCTCTAAGCGACGTAACGTGACATCATACTACATGGTCATACCATGTCTCCGAGCGTCGCAACGTGACATCATGCTAGTGCCATACCACGTGTCCGAGCGACGTAACGTGACATCATACTTCACTGACATACATCGTCTCCGAGCGTCGAAACATGACATCATACTAAACTGTCATACTACGTCTCCGAGCTTTGAAACATGACATCATACTACACGGTCATACCACGTCTCCGAGCGTCGTAACGTGACATCATACAACACGGTCATAACACGTCTCCGAGCGTCGTAACGTGACATCATTTTACACGGTCATACCACGTCTCCGAGCGTCGTAACGTCACATCATACAACACGGTCATACCAAGTCTCCCAGCGTCGTAACGTCACATCATACTACACGGTCATACCACGTCTCCGAACGTCGTAACGTCACATTATACTACACGGTCATACCACGTCTCCGAGCGTCGTAACGTCACATCATACAACACGGTCATACCACGTCTCCNCACGTCTCCGAGCGTCGTAACGTCACATTATACTACACGGTCATACCACGTCTCCGAGCGTCGTAACGTCACATCATACAACACGGTCATACCACGTATCCGAGCGTCGTAACGTGACATCATATTACACGGTCATACCACGTCTCCGAGCGTCGTAACGTCACATTATACTACACGGTCATACCACGTCTCCGAGCGTCGTAACGTGACATCATACTACACGGTCATACCACGTCTCCGAACGTCGCAACGTCACATCCTACTTCACGGTCATACTACGTCTCTGAGCGTCGTAACGTAACATCATACTACACGGTCATACCACGTCTCCGAACCTCGTAACGTCACATCATACAACACGGTCATACCACGTCTCCGAACGTCGCAACGTCACATCATACTTCACGGTCATACTACGTCTCTGAGCGTCGTAACGTGACATCATATTACACTGACACACCGCGTCTCCGAATGACGAAACGTGACATCATACTACAAGGTCATACCATGTCTCCGAGCGTCGTAACGTGACATCATATTACAATGTCATATCTCGTCTCTTAGATTCGTAATGTGACATCATGCTAAAGTGTCATACCACGTCTCCGAGCGACGTTTCATGACATCATACTACACTGTCATACCACGTCTCCGAGCGTCGTAACGTGACATCATACTTCACGGTCATACAATTGTACCATGTTTCCGAGTGACGTAACGTCACATTATGCTACACTGGCATACCACGTCTTAGAGCGAAGTTGCATGACATCATACTACAGTGTCATACCACGTCTCCGAGCGTCGTTACATGACATCATGCTACAATGTCATACCACGTCTCCGAGCGAAGTTACTTGGCATCATACTATAGTGTTATACCACGTCTCCGAGCGAAGTTACTTGGCATCATACTATAGTGTCATACCACGTCTCCGAGCGTCGTTACATGACATCATACTACACGGTCATACAACGTCTCCGAGTGACGTAACGTGAAATCGTACTACACTGACATACCACGTCTCCGAGTGACGTAACGTACTACACTGACATACCACGTCTCCGAGCGAAGTTACTTGGCATCATACTATAGTGACATGCCACGTCTCCAAGTGACGTATTGTGACACCATACTGTTGTCACATACCGTGACACCATATGCATACTGTTGTCACATACCGTATTCCCGGGCGATGTAGCGGACCATGGCGCCAGACTGACAAATAATATGTTCGTCAACTTCCAGTATTGGGAGCATGCCCTGTGGAGTACCTGAAATATATGAATTCAATAAATGAAAAAAACGCAGTAAAGCCATGTTATTAAGTCCATATCAGAGGAAATATACATCAGAGTTATAACTCTAGTGAAAATCCTGTCATCTGATTAGTCGAAACAATGTTTTTTTCATTTCACACTGTCACAATCGCTTTAACATTAAATGAATCGAAAGGTGCTTCCCAACGCCATAGGAACTAGTGTCAGTGTGTGTGACAGTGCGAAATAGTGACCGCGCCATGTTTTTTTCTCTCGGTATATAAAATTAAAACTGCATTCATTAGAGTGTGACGGTGCATAGGGTCACCTCTCGGATATCACTGTCACCCTCGGATTCACCCAGTGTGATTCCCTCGGGGTGACCCTGGGCAACGTCACACTCTAATGCGAGTAGTATTTATATAATAATTCTTTTTTTTTTAAAGTAAATAAATGATTATAATCATTAAAGAAAAATGTCAATAAAAAAAGATAGGTACAGAGGGCCTTATTGCTCACCTGTGTATATAAACATTCAAAATATTGTCATTAATAGTAACACTGCAACTGTAAGGGAGGGGAAGGGTGGGAGAGAGAGTAGGAAGGGAGGGAGAGGGAGGGCGAGTAGGAAGGAAGGGATGATAGTAGGAAGGGAGGTAGAGTAGAAGGAGAGGTGGGAGATTAGGAAGGGATAAGAGGGAGAGTAGGAAGGGAAGGGAGGGGAGTAGGGAAGGGAGTGGAGTAGGAAGGGAGGGGGAGGGAGAGTAGGAAGAGAGGGAGAGGGAGAGTAGGAAGGGAGGGGGAGGGAGAGTAGGAAGGGAGGGGGAGAGGGAGTAGGAAGGGAGAGGAGGGAGAGTAGGAAGGGAGTGAGTCTCTTTACTTAACTACTATTTGGTGTCCTAGTCATAACATTTTAATTAAAATGTAATCAATGTGTTAAAGGGTTAGGCCTCTTATTTTTTTTCATACAAAAAAGGAAATTTCTCTCTGCTTGAAGAAAGTAAGAAAAAGTGTGGCTCTCTTGGGAGCAGAGAGGCAAGTCCAAAGAAGGGTGAACATTGACGATTAATACTGTTACGAAGGTCTGCCAAGTTTCCATTTTTCTCTTTTGTTCCCCCACTTTACCACTGATACATGATTCATAGTTATTTTCTAAATGTAAATGTCACAAACTTATTATTTGTTACATAACAAGATACAACTAGATTTGATGCAGATCAAAACACGGGATTTCCAACAAGAAAATAATCAAAGATATGTTCTCGAACTGACGATCGCTTTTAAACGTTTCTCTTCGCTTCTCTTTGCTTCCCTTCTCTGACAAACTTATTTTGTAGCTTTCACTTGTTTATTGGCCTGCATCACTTACTGGTCACCGAAAAACAAACATTTAAACATACAATGAGTTAATTGTTCCTGGACATATTGAAGCTGACTATTATGCCTAGTAAGTTTGGAAGTTGTGCCTTGTTTGTGGATAAGGGCAATAAGACCACAGTAAGGAGACAGTCTCCACGTAGTTTGAATGTTCTGTACGGGTTATTGCCCTTTGAACGTGTGCTAGTCTACAGTAGCTGACTGAGTAGTGTGGGATTCCCAGAGTGCGAAATGACGTCAGAGAAGGAATGGATAAATATAGGCAGCCAATGGGCTTGGTTGTATACGAATGTAGTCCGTAAAATATAGTCCGTCTACTATGTACGCCAGGACGATTTATTGAAACTATCTTTGTGTCTATATCGGTTGGGTTTGCCACGCCAAAGAAAAGGTGATGTTTACCCACCGCAGGAGAGGTGTCAACTGTCCATACTTTTAAGATTGAGAGTGCGTAGTAATCGATGTAGTATAACCAGCGTGTATTCGATGTCTTGATATAAATCAAAGTACTGAGAGTACTGAAAGCACTTGACAATCGCACAAAAATAACAAAGTGGTATATCTTCGTCATTTTTGATGCTATGACCGTGAAACTTTGGAAATACCTTGAATACACCTTGCTCTGTTATATTTAAAAAAAAAACATCTCATTTTGAGATTTTCATTTTTGACCTATATTTGACCCCATGACGAGGCTTTGAACTTGAAATTCTCTGATAACATGTCACGGAAAAAAGTTAGCCCCGACTTAGCTCTACAAGAAGGATGAAGCGTACATGCAGTACAACGAAAGCTTTCGAAGGTATCGTCGTTCGGAAAACATTTTTAAAAAACTATTTTTTTAGATCTGTGACCTTGACCTTTGATATTACGATCATGAATTTGTTCGCATACCATGTGTTCCTTGTCCTCTAATACGTACTGAAATATAAACGTTGTATCTTTATTCGTACTTAAGTAAGAGTGTCCACAAGATCATTTGACCCCTGTGGCCTTGATTGTAGTTCAAGGTCAATGATATGTGTTATTTTTGTAGGCAAGGCTACATTCTATGGATGTACAAAATATTAACTCTGTATGTGTCTGAATGAAGGAGAAGAAGCATTTTTAGTAAATATTTTGAAAGTTTGAATTTTGGTGAGAAAATGAACATTTTTCAAAGTTGCATATCTTCGTCATTTTTGAAGCTATGATCATGAAACTTTGGGAATACTTTGAATAGACCTTGCTCTTTAATATTTTAACATAAAATTAAAAAAAATATGATTTTTATTTTTGACCTATATTTGACCCAATAACGAGGCTTAAAACTTGATATTCTCTGATAACATGTCATGTAAAAAAGTTAGCCCCGACTTAGCTCTACAAGAAGGATGAAGCGTACATGCAGTACAACGAAAGCTTTCGAAGGTATCGTCGTTCTAAAAATGTTTTAAAAAAATCGATTTTTAGATCTGTGACCTTGACCTTTGATATTACGATCATGAATTTGTTCACATACCATGTGTTCTTTGTCCTCTGTCACGTACTGAAATATGAACGTTGTATCTTTATTCGTACTTGAGATAGAGTGTCCACAGGATCATTTGACCCCTGTGGCCTTGAATGTAGGTCAAGGTCAATGATATGTGTTATTTTTGTAGGCAAGGCTACATACTATGGATGTACCAAATATCAACTATGTTTGTGTCTTAATGAAGGAGGAGAAGCGTTTTGAGGAAAATGCTGGAAATTTTGAATTTTGGCGGGAAAACGAATTTTTCAAAGTGGCATATCTTCGTCATTTTTGAAGCTACGACTTTGAAATTTTTTACGTATTCCTCTATTATAACATGCCCTTTAAGATGAAGTAAAAATATAACTCATTTTGTGATTTTTATTTTTGACCTATATTTGACCCCATAGCGAGGCTTTTAACTTGACATATTCTCTGAAAACATGTCATGGGGAAAAGTTAGCCCCGACCAAGATCTACAAGATCCACATAACGTTCATGATGCACAACGAACGCTTAGGAAGTTATGGTCGTTCTAAAAATGTTTTAAAAAACTGATTTTTAGATCTGTGACCTTGACCGTTGAGAAAACGATCATGATTTTTGTTCGAAAAACTAGAGTTTGTTGTCCTCTATCATGTTATGAAATATGAACGTTCCATCTTTGTTCGTTCTTGAGATAAAGTGGCCACAAGATTTCTGGAAATAAGAATAATAATAAGAATAATAATAAGAAAAAACATAACAATAACAATAGGTATTTCCATCCGAAATGGAAATCCCTAATTAAGAGCGCGTAAATTATAGAATAAAGGCGTGAAATATTTATCATAGCATCTCACGAGGAGTACATCACAAAACGCATACGACCAGTAACATAAAATACATCACACAACAAGTTACATGAAATACATCAGAGGACAGGTTATAACAAAAACATCTTACAGATCAGTCTACAATTCCATTGGTACATTGTAACAAGAAATATAAATGTTTCTATTAATGAATATAACATCATCAATATTCTAAGATATAAACATTAACGCAAGCGAATATTTATGATGCTATTCAAAATGAGTAATATGTATTTAAGTTCTTATTCAAATATTTAATTATTCAGTATTTAAAATGCAACCGATATAAACGACAGTCCGGAAATATACTCACGTGCGATAGAGTCAGCTGACACGTCTGTTATCTAATAAACACTGTCATTATTTAGGTTTGGGGAATAACCACTATAATACATATATGATTTTCTTCAGTTACTTCATTTTTAGCAAAAAAATGACATTACTGTCGTGCTTTAATCGGATTGAATTCCCTTATTATCTCACTTGGACCATTACCATCGCAGTCAATTCTTAGTGTCTCAGTATGTCCCTTACAGACTGGCTTTATCACTCATTTAAACTGCACGCAGATCTGTAACGAACTTGAATCAACCTACTAACAACAGTGGTGTAACGTTAATAGACACCGCGCGCCATACTAACGGAGATGTAATGACAGCAAATAGCTAGAGCGAGTCGAATGATATTTTAATAATATAATAAGGTTCAAATCTGCAATATATTGACACATAACTTGATAAATAAAAATGCATCAGATCATGATAGACTTAGTTCCAGATAAGGTGACACATATCTATATACACATGTACATATCAAGGAACACACACGTGTGTTGTGAAAGAATCTCATTGACTGCATAACCAATACTCACTCTCTTTCTGTAACGCCCATTCCTCGGGCTTCAGTCGGACATCTTCAAATGGCTGCTTTGCTACACACAAAGCCAATCTTGTTAACTCGGCCCGGCCAGCACTCTCAAAATATGTTACCTTGTACTTCGGCATGGTGGATGGTGGGCGACGTCTTCAGTGATGGACTGTATGTGTGTGTAGGCCCTATGACGCAGGTGGGCGGGGTTCAATGTACGAAACGCTCGACTGCCTCGTCGTTCTCCACATTAAGGTATTACATGCATGACTTTGTCAGTGTATATAGTATGTGATGGGCTCATAAACTCTGCTGTGGCTATAACATAAATGATTGGCCTCTGTTGCTGTTTCTTCTTTCTACATTGTTACACAATTTGATGAACGTATTTCCTGTTTTATCTTGAATGTTTTGATCATATCTTTGCCCATATCGAACTTCAGTTCCGTTTTCGTCAGTTTGACTTACTTATATGTATACTATCTTTCCATTTGCATTCTAAAACAAAGCATTTGTCAGTTAATCGCGCACTCACATTAAACAATTCAAAAAATTTGCTTGTGTAATTTATTAAATTGCAAGTCGCAAAAATGGAAGCATCGTTTAATTTGGACTTATTAATACTGTAGCCCAAAAGCGACAGTAAGATATCATTTTTTTGAGTCAATTAGTCGGAAACTAATATTGTTATCATATCGGAATACTATGTTCTGTCTTAATAAGGTAAACAAAAGCCAATATCTTCAATTTCGGAACGCTCTTAAGGCATACATGAACAGCAAGCTTAATATAATTTTAAAATATTTTTGGCCTAGCTGTATTTCTTTTTTTCTCTTTGTTCGTGCTTTAATGTAGATAAACGGCACTGCATACAAATCATTTCCAATTAGTTTAAGTTTAATTAAGATAACAACTGGACTATAACACTAAACCATCATTGTGACTGACAGCAGGAGAAATGCAGTTCAACGAGAGGTACTAGTGATTTATAGTGGTCCAGTAATTGCTATAGGGATGAGTCGAGATGAAGTCTGTCCTGTTGGTGGTCAGACTTAGCGGTTCTTTACACTCAAAGAACAGATGACTCTCTCGTCCACTTCAGTGGGATTAAGTTAAATGTCGTTACAAAGAACATGTATGTATCTGCACAACCTGTTTGAACTGGTCGACACTTCATATATCTCGACTCTCCATGTGTGTTCCTACGTGATGCTAAATAAACAGACATCAGCGGTGACGGTTTAGACGATACTCCTTTCACTATACACTTGATACGCTGTCCTCCAGCGTTCAAGGATGATGAGGGAATCCGTCTTTGGATTGCATATCCTCAATTTCTCTGTCGCATATCCCCTGCAGGTTTAGGTAAAGAATAGACGTGTTGTATCCCACTGCATGTCATAAGAAGCGGCAAATATGGGCTCCCTTGCAGAATTGGGGATTTTCTTCTTAGTGTCTTCTGCTAAGGTGACATTGAAAAATTCAAAATTGGTCTGCCGATCCCACTGTTACGCTTGAGATCTACATCTGTATATTTGTTCTTTATCCATTTGCTGTTCTTTCTCTTCAGTGTTCTATCCTTATACCACCCTCTTTATATGACCTTACATTTTGTAGCTGTCGCGCATACGTCATCCTCGACACTCCAGTGGGTACGCTAAATTTTGCTCCCTGCAACCCTGGGATATTTCATAAAATTGAAGCCACAAAGAGAGCCGTTTGATTGGTCTCAGGTAAAAAAAAAACACCTGATCAATTGCTAGGCTGATACCTGTCCTTTAACGATCACAACGGGGCAACACCCAATCTGATTAAAATCATATGTTACATTGCTTCGTTAACTTCGTACTACGCCTGAACATCTGAATGCGCGCGGTCAGGGTCACGTTCAAGTGACCTTCAGATGAACCAATCAGAGGCGCGCTGGCAAAAGATGCCAGCGAATCGGAATATCATTCTGGATACATAAAAAGCGATTGGGATACCAATTCTACATTGGATGAATACTTCTACATTAAACATTTTAGAGCATAGACTCAATTTTAAACCCGTTACTGAACTTTTAAATCAACCCTTAAACTGCATTGCTTGCTCACTGCCTGAGATACAATCTATGTGATACTGAATTTCACCCATGATAGCTTGACCAACCCGGCGTTTTTACATCTCTCAGTCTCATTGATGAACTTTTAACTGTAATTATATTGTGTTTTACCGTGCCCTTACTGACTTTTTATCTTCCGTACCGATTCTCTCTGAACACATTTTACCAAATATTGCCACTTTTATTGGAGCGGGATCTCGCTAGATCTGACGGCATCTTTTCAAGATGGCGGCCCCCATCAATAACAATGCATTTGTCACCACCTCGAAGGAGAACGCCCATACATCAGCTCAAACAGACATAGTAACGCGTTGTAACACCACACGTCGTAACTACACACTCAATTGTAAAACGGCCCTACAAAACAAAAGAAAAGGATGTGACAGACCATTCATAAATATCATCCCAAAAGATGGAGGCCAACAACTAAAGATTGATTGCAAGACAGGCTGCTATGAACTCTTGAAGGAGGAGATAATTAAGGCTACCAAGTCAAAAAGATATGCGAACGCTATAACATAGTCCTCACCCATGAAGAAATCACTGACCAAGTTGGAAACAACCCGGAACATATATCCGTTCTTACAATAGACTCAACTCAGGTGTTTCAGGAAAGCGCCAAAAATTTACAATATATATGTATCACACCCAATCTTCCCTACTAATTAATGGTAGACATGTTGCCCTTTTCCAGGAAGACATCCTACCAGACATTCTACATGTAATTCATTCCCACTCTAGCATGGATGGTCTAGACAGAAGGATGGCAGATCTTATTGATAGATGTATGAAGAAAAGTGTAGATGCACCGGATGCCTGCACCAGTATGCTACAGATAGAAGATAGGATCTTACATGATACTCTACCTTCTCAGATAGATCAGACCGAACCATCTCTAGCGGAGAATATGGATACGTGTATCCACTGCAATGTTTATGTAGCCTCCGAGGGCATTGAATGCGACATCTGTCATCATTGATATCATTACTCCTGCGAGCACCTAGACACTGACTTGTCAGAATTCTATAGTGGCAACCCACGCTACAGCTGTCTATCGTGTAGACATCTTTCCTTCTTAGATATTTCACTTACCCCCCCACCCCAGCCACAGATCAACACTTCCATCCTTCAACAAGAATGTGAGGACCTTCGTTATGATGAAGTCCCCTTTGACACAGCAGAAGTCCATGGCGACCATGGGCATATAACCACAGGAAATGGAATTTCGGCTTCAAACCCTGCTGTTTTGGATAATTCCAACACATCTTAAAGATGGATACGAGGCCTGTGTGCAACCAAAGTGTGTTGCTGTGGATTTACAACAACACAGCCTGTCTATACATACTGATATTACCACTCACGACAAACAGAACTCCCCATGCATTGTCTCTGACCTCATTGGAAATAGTCAGAATATAAGACCTCCTGCCCGGAAAAAAAATGAATGATCCAAAACCAGAGAGAAAGAAGAAGGCAAACAAAGGAATAAGTAACAACCAAGCAGACCTGCAGGAACAGCTTGAACACTCTGGAAGTGTTATCATCTTCTTGGAAAGGAAAATAAACAAGCTTGAACAAACCAACAACTTGCTACAACATCAAGTACTCCAACCAGAAATACTAAGTGACCGCCGAACACATGTACCATCATACTAATCTGGACAACATCATGAATTAGACACCATTCATGACAAGCTTCGTGTCATGGAGATCAACATGAAGATTCTCCAAGTAGAAAACATGCAAAGGAACCTACAAATGCAGCAGCAACAGTTCCAACAGGTCATGCCCAGTGCTACCATACCTCCTGGCTTCATGATCCAGTTAGCCCCTAACGGCCTTCCAGTGATGCAACCCACTACTCTACCATTTCCTCCACCACCTACACAACCGTTTCACCTACAACCTTGCCAGCAACAGCCGCAGTCAGAAGACCTGAGGAACCAAGGATTTCAGACTCCAACACAGTTTTGTCAACCACATACAAACAACCAACATGCAGGGTATCATGGTGCGACAACTCTGGACAAAAAGGACAAACTTAAGGCCTTCAATGACCAAAGACCCAGTACTGCTAGCAATGCTCCAGCATATGACAGAACATGGGGACCATGGAGGAAACCACAAGAACCCAGAGTGAGATTCGCGCAACAATCTAACGACTATGGCCCTAAGAATCTCCCAAGTCTGCTAGACCTGGCTGAAGGGAACCCCCTGAAAATGTCTGATAACCCCCCAAACAAAAGGAAACTGGACCTACTGAATAGTGCCCCAGCTATGCACTCCATGCCGCACAAACAGAAGTTTAGTACACCTAAAGTGGACAGAAATGGCCTGTCTATCAGGAAGCTCCATGGCGCAGTTCCTGCCCCAAACCAAAGTGAGATAACAAGCCCTGATCACTCCATCTCATCAGACATAGAGAACACCAAGGAGCAGATAACTAAGGAACATCAAAATGGACAACTGTCTTTTTTGTCCCACGGCGAGTTTCGGAGCAAAGAGGACGGAACCCGTCGACAACACTCGCGAGCCCATTAAAGTAGCTACCCTTAATGTGAAAAACGTCAAGGGTAACAGGACCTATGTTGAGGAACTCCTTCAAAACGATGATGTAGTGTGCCTGCAAGATCTTGATGATGATTGACCTTTCTTATAAACATGAAATATTCGGAAAATCTGTTGATACCAACAGCCCAATACCCCCCCCCCCCCCCCCTACAAGTACCTCGTGGATATAGAGGCACTGCCATACTCTACAGGAATTATTGGGACATGAAAACAACGAAACATCCAGATGGTGGTGACAGAATAACAGTTATTGAACTGGATACAGATCCCAAAATGTGTATTATTAATGCCTACCTTCCCCCAAGGGGAAATAACTCCAGAGCAGACTACATTGAAATACTTGATGAGGTGCGTGAAGTCGTACTTAAGTTTACTGGAACGCACGCAGTACTACTCTGTGGAGACATGAACTCCTCACTACGGAGAACCCGAGAAATGACCGAGATATAGTTCTGGAACAGTTCTGCAAGGACAACCAACTGTACAACAAGCAGGATTGGACACCCACATTCAGGCGTGCAAGTGGAGAAAATACCGCAGAAATAGATTATATTCTCATGAACAAAAAGGCTTACGCACTACTCCTGGATCAACAGGTTGGCCTTGCCGACCATAGGAATACTTCAGACCACACAAGTATCTCTGCAACAATAAATATCAACTTCCATACCAAAGATCAACAGCATCCTACCAGCTCAACACCAGCATAGCATAAATGCGATCAACATAGGTATAAGGCAGAAGTCAAACAGGGCCTTGGACCCAACTCAAATAGACTCTACAGAATCCTTGGATGTTGCTATAAACCATCTAACTGAAACCCTACAACATGCGGTGCGAATAAGTATTCCGGGGCACAGCGGAGAAAATGGTAGCAAGAAGAAACGCAAGAAAAGACCACCTGACCCTCGAAAACTAGCAAGAAGGCATGGTTGACATGGAGACTACATGGTCGCCCCTCCAGCAGACAACACCCTGCAAATATAGCAATGCGGCAAGCAAAGCAATCTCTTAGAAAGATCCAGAGGAAACAGGCTTGTGATAAGCAAATAGAAAAAGTCACCAACATCATGGCTTCAAAAGGAGACCTAAAGACCTTCAACAAATTGGTTAAGCTCCAACGGTCCACATGCACACACAGTACAACCCAGCTTATGGTGGATGGGAGGATGCTTAGTAATTCAGACGAGATCAAAGATGGATGGGCCGATTATTTCCAAACTCTAGCTCTTCCATTGAAAGATGACCTTTTCCATGATGATTACCTGAGGGATATCCAACTTGACAACGGGATCATTAAATCTATATGCATGGCAGATGGACTCGACATCAGACCAGCTAGTATAGTTGAGATCAAAGCAGCAGTCTCCAAGCTACACAACAACAAGGCCCCTGATGCATATGGCATGACCTGTGAACATCTCAAGATGACGGGAAATAGGATTCTGGATAACCTGAAGGCTATTATAAACGCCATATTGCAGCAGAAAGAGTTACCAGAAAACCTCAAACTCGGCCTGCTAACCCCTGTACACAAGAAAGGTCCAACAGATGTACCAGGGAATTATAGAGGAATCACTGTTACTCCTATACTACTAAAGATACTAGAACATGTACTAAAGAGCAGACATGAAACGATCCTTCTGAGAACGCAGTCCCAACTCCATCGGGCTTCACAAAAGGAACCTCATCAGCAAAATCAGCCCTAATTATTACAGAATGCCACCTAGAAGCCAAATCAAACAAGACGAAACTATTACTCACGACCTTAGATACACAGAAGGCGTTCGATGTGGTAAATTATGAAATCCTCCTCCACCAACTGTTCTTCGATGGTATACAAGGCCCAGACTGGATCCTTCTACATAACTTCTATGAGAATATGACATCCAGAGTAAAATGACAAGGAACACTCTCTAAGGAAATCAATCTACTGCAAGGTGTTAGACAAGGAGGAGTCCTCTCAACGGAGCATTATAAGCGCTACAATAACCCCCTACTCCTACAACTAGAGGGAAAATGTCAGGGTGCCACTGTCGGAAACATACACATCCCGCACGTCACCTGTGCTGATGATCTTGCCCTTCTCTCCCACTCGGATGCATAAATGAGACAAATGGTCGACACCGTTGGGCAATTCAGCAATAGTAGCCGGTATCGGATAAATCCCTCGAAAAGCTCTATCCTCCAGTACAACTCTAATCAGGACATAAACCTGCCTGTCCTCCAAAGCAAGGAAATACAACTAGGCAAAACAATAGTCCATCTCGTCATATTAAGATCCACTGAAAGAAAATCTAGTGTGCAGGAAAAGATTGAAAGGGAAGGAAAACCGTCTACTCCCTCATGGGAGCAGGTCTGCATAGCAAGACTGGACTAAGCCAAACCTCAAAGGGATACATCTGGTCAGTTTATGTCATTCCCAGAATACTGTATGGCCTGGAGACGCAGCTCCTCACCAAGTTCAACCTGGAAAGCCTCGAGAGATTTCATAGGAAGTATCTACGTCAAATGCAGCACCTACCAGACAGAACACCCTCCGTGGCTGTTCTCGGCCTCGTCGGTATCCTGCCTACCACCACTGTCATCCATAAAAACCTGCTCAACCTTTTTCACTGTGTCCTGTCTAAACCAAACTCCATCGAATACAGGATTGCTGTGCGGCAATTTGCTGTAAAGTCAGCTGAAGAACCAAGCATCTTCTTAGAGATCCGGCGACTACTGCAATTCTACAACTTGCCAAACAGCATACCATCTGCTCCTTAACCCCCCGAATAAATATGAATGGAGACGCATCCTCAATGCGGCCATAAACGGGAAAGTGGAAGCTTACTGGAGAGACGAGGTAAAAGAGAAACCTTCTCTGAAATATCTAAACCCGGATGCACGGAAAGTTGGATTACCCCACCATCTATACTCAATGACAAATCCAATAAAAAGGGGCGTACAAAGAGCAGATTTAAAAGCCAGGATTCTAACTGGAACGTACATTCTGCAGTCAAACCGAGCCAGATTCAACCAATTTGAGATCGACCCCACCTGTAAACTCTGCGACTCCAAACCTGAATCAAGATGCCATTTCATAGCTGAATGCTGCAGACTGGAGGATATTAGACTCAGATGCAAAAGAAAACTCATCGAGATCCCTGGATTGACAAAACAGTATCTACTGGAAGATCCTGAGAGCTTCACTCAACTTATCCTCGACTGTTCTCGCCATCTCACTAATCAACAGATGCATCATAAACGCAGAGAAGAAATAGTCCGCAGGATCGAACTCTGCTCAAGGGAGTTCCTTACCAACATACATCTGAAGAGAATACGTTACCTATCTGCACTCAATCTTTGAGCAATCAATGATGTTCCCCCTTTCCCATTGACATTAGTATATACAGATTACCACTACTCATGAATGGACTGAGTTTCATGGTGGGCTGATGATGGGGACACATGTAAATACGTCCATTTGTATATAGCCCCAGTGTGAATGCCCTGTGCTACAGTGTTTTATATTCTGAAGGACCTCGCCAATCCAACTAACTCACCAAGGACCTACTTGGGTGCTCATCCAAATAATCGGAGGAATCTGAAGACTGAACTGAATTGAAACTATGGCGGCGGGAACTGGGCTTCTACGACGTCAATGAAAACGTACCCATTGAGTAATAATTGCGTAGGCAACACCACCATACAGTCTTCTTCTCTAATAAAGGTTTGATTATCTTTTTCTGTTCGGGTTTCAGACGATCAATCTCAAATAACTTCAGAACTTTCGCATCATTCTCATCAATGTCCGCCATATTTGTTACAACTCCGAGCACCCTTTTGAAAGAGGGTCTCTGATTGGTCAAAATTTCATGAGTATTTATAAATATAAAGGTCACCTGAACGTGACCCTGACCGTGGCACGCTCAGATGTTTAGGCGTAGTACGAAGTTAACAAGCCATGTAACATATGATTTTAATCAGATTGGGGCGACACCCGACTTCAAAGCCTGTCAATTTTTACCATTAAGTGACCGCGGGATTCTTTTGATGTACATCGAAGAATTGAACTAGTCTTCTAGTCTCGTCAACAAGGTGGCGCATACCGAGCCTTCAATAGTGCTATGATATATTCAAGGGATGCAGAGAGCGTAGGTGAACCCAAACCTAACAAACCAACAAGACTTGTGGCCTCTGGTATTAGTAGGTGATCTGGGTTGTCGACTGCTTTAGCTCCGAACTTTCAGTCACAATTTATGTGTTATTGTTTATCCAACGCAATGTGAAGAAGACAGTATTCTGCAGATGTATCTGTTCAAGTTTATTAAGATGTTTTATGTTTTATTTTTCAGGTTGGTAGATATAGTTTGTATATGAGTTTTTATTGTACAAGCAGTAACTTGTAAATGTACACTAGTTATCACGACTTCAGTACGATATGTAGTCATCACGACTTCAGTACGATATGTACAGTTATCACGACTTCAGTACGATATGTACTCTGTCACATCCAGCGAATGACAAATGACAGTAAAGCGTGGACACATTTGGGAATTTTAAAATGTACGAGACGACAATCGAATCGAAAAGTCGATTCGCCTATATTTAAGGGTATTTACAGCAATGTGCAAACAGAAAAACGAGATGACAATCTATGACATAAGAACAGATGGAGAAAAAAACCCCAATAACCTCTACCCTGAGAGAGCTTATCATATAAGAGTAAAGAAGACCTTAAATTGTACATACAACATTTAATTAAGTGAGAGTGTAATCCGCGGTACGATGCACTTTCTTGACATTGTTTAGATGATAAAACCATACAAGTAATGGTCTATGCAATACAGGGACTAACAGTTCAACTAAGTCTCGCACCATTTGCACCAGAAGTTAGACGTAGCATGCAATTGCTCAAAAAGATATGATATGATTGTCATAGAACTTTATGTCAAAAAGCAAACATGGATATTGCAATGAGCACTGAAGAGAGTAAGGAAACACATCTACCCTCACAGAGTTCATCATGAAAGTGGTAGAGAAGATCTTCACTTCAGCACCCTAAATTCTACATACAGCCTTAAATTCACACGTGAGGAAGGACACGACGTCACGATGTACTTATTTGATACCGTTCTTGCATACACGTATTGGACTGTTACTGGACACTCGTGGTCTAATACTTGAACTTAATCATACACCCATTTCGCCAGAAGTTCGACGTAGCTTGTAAATTGCTTAAAAGATATGATACGATTGTCATAGAACAACACGTCAAAAAAGCAAAAACATAAATAGATTCACGAGGCATTGAAAACACGTGGATATCGCAAACGAAAGCTCATTTGTCAATACTTCCCGATATAAAAACTGCTATTTGAAACCTTTTAGCGGATTATCGCGACTATGGCATAACAAAAGCAATCCCATATCACAATACACTCCAAACATCCCAAGGATCAAATACTTAAAAATAAGTTACAGACTGCTTGAATAAAATTAGATAAAAAAAAACGATGCAACGTATATCTGAGAGACTGGGAGGCGAAAATATGACCAAGTTACTGAACACCAAAAAGACACGGAAACATATTAATCAGGTCAGAAAAAGTAGTATGTATCGGCACTGATAGATCAGGCGACACACCAAACTCCTGTATTTGACCGAGGTGGGACTGTTACAATTGGCAGTAATCGCTACCCAGAGTTGTCGATCCTTACACTCACTAAGTGTTGGAACGACAACTTTAGATAGAGCTCGCAATTGGCAGGTAAAGGAAGGCTACTTGATACGAAGTACTAAACAAAGCTGGTAAATCGATCGTCATCTTATATCTGGTTTACACAACCAAATGTAAGTTAATGTTTCGACTGACACTGCAATTATCTAGAGTGTCCATATCTCGTCTCACACATGAACTCAAATATGATATAAGACAACAGTTAGCACTCAATTGATACACTTGCTCCAAAGCAATCAACTGTAAATAAAATTTACAAAGACACAACACTTAACATATTCAATAGCCATTTATAAATAAAGCTGATGAAGAAATCAAACAACAATGATCTAGAGAGGTATGCACACATGAAATGTCATTTAAGTGGTCTCAAGTCAATAAAGTTATATATACAACGACATCGTGACATTCAGTTCATTTCTTCACAGGTTGGCTTGCCAGCCATTTCTTGATGCCCTTGTTTTCAGACACTCGTTTGGCGTGCGCTTGTAGATTTTTATTTTCACGATAACACTTGGTTGAGTCCTCGCCAAACATGCTCGGCATGGTCTTAAACAAGCTGAACACTGCTAGATCGGCAATCGTCATCTGTAGGAACACAATTAACAAACCATTACTCACGTATTACAAACACACAATTGAAGTGTTTTTCCTTATTAACATGCAGATTTTGCAAGTGATGGCAAATGCATGGTTACATGTACACTACCAGATTATATGTTTGTGATGAACGACTTCGAAAGAGATTAAATCAAAAACTGAAAACTGCAATCCATTTCGTGTCCTTATGAAATATTTTACCTTGTGTGCTGATGATTTGGTATATTTTGTCCTATATCGTATCGACGATGTGATTAAGATGTTTCCTGTGTGTATTGACGCTGTTGTATATTTTATCATGCGTTGACGCTGTGGTATGTTTTGCCCGATTGTGTTAACACGGTGGTATATTTTATCCGTGTTGACGGTTTGGTATATTTCATCCTGTGTTGACGCTGTGGTAGAATGTATCGTGTGTTTACGCTGTGGTATATTTTATCAGGTGTTGACGCTGTGGTATATTTTATTATGTGTTGACACGGTGGTATATTTTGTCCGTTTGTGTTGACACGGTGGTATATTTTATCATGTGTTGACGCTGTGGTAGAGATTATCATGTGTTGACGCTGTGGTATACTTTATCATGTGTTGATGCTGTGGTATATTGTATCCTATGTAGACGCTGTGGTATATTTGATCCTGTGTTGACGGTTTGGTATATTTTATCATGTGTTGACGCTGTGGTAGTGTTTATCATGTGTTGACGCTGTGGTATACTTTATCATGTGTTGATGCTGTGGTATATTGTATCTTATGTAGACGCTGTAGTATATTTTATCCGGTGTTGACGGTTTGGTATATTGTATCATCTGTTGACGCTGTGGTATCTCTTATCCTGTGTTGACGGTGTGGTATTTTTTTTCATGTGTTGACGCTGTGGTATATTTTATCCTGGGTTGACGCTGTGGTATACTTATCCTGTGTGGACCCTGTTGTATATTTTATCCTGTGTTGACGCTGTGGCATATTTTATCATGTGTTGACGCTGTGGTATATTTTATCATGTGTTAACGCTGTTGTATATTTTATCCTGTGTTTACGCTGTGGTATACTTATCCTGTGTGGACGCTGTGGGATTTTTTATCCTGTGTTGACGCTGTGGTATATTTTATCCTGGATTGACGCTGTGGTATATTTTATCCTGTGTGGACGCTGTGGTATACTTATTCTGTGTTGACGCTGTGGTATATTTTATCCTGGATTGACGCTGTGGTATATTTTATCCTGTGTTGACCCTGTGGTATTCTTATCCTGTGTGGACGATGTGGTATATTTTATCCTGTGTTGACGCTGTGGTATATTTTACCCTGTGTTGACGTTGTGGTATATTTTATCATGTGTTAACACTGTGGTATATTTTATCATGTGTTAACGCTGTGGTATATTTTATCCTGGGTTGACGCTGTGGTATACTTATCCTGTGTTGACGCTGTGGTATATTTTACCCTGTGTTGACGTTGTGGTATATTTTATCATGTGTTAGCGCTGTGGTATATTTTATCATGTGTTAACGCTGTGGTATATTTTATCCTGGGTTGACGCTGTGGTATACTTATCCTGTGTGGACGCTGTGGGATTTTTTATCCTGTGTTGACGCTGTGGTATATTTTACCCTGTGTTGACGTTGTGGTATATTTTATCATGTGTTAACACTGTGGTATATTTTATCATGTGTTAACGCTGTTGTATATTTTATCCTGTGTTTACGCTGTGGTATACTTATCCTGTGTGGACCCTGTTGTATATTTTATCCTGTGTTGACGCTGTGGAATATTTTATCCTGTGTTGACGCTGTGGTATACTTATCCTGTGTTGACGCTGTTGTATATTTTATCCTGTGGTGACGCTGTGGTATACTTATCCTGTGTGGACCCTGTTGTATATTTTATCCTGTGTTGACGCTGTGGAATACTTATCCTGTGTGGACGCTGTAGCACTCTTGGGATTTTGTGCTTGTGTTGGCTCTGCAATATTTGTCCCTGTGCGTTGATGTGTTGACGCTGTGGTAGTGTTTATCATGTGTTGGCGCTGTGGTATACTTTATCATGTGTTGATGCTGTGGTATATTGTATCCTATGTAGACGCTGTGGTATATTTGATCCTGTGTTGACGGTTTGGTATAATTTATCATGTGTTGACGCTGTGGTAGTGTTTATCATGTGTTGACGCTGTGGTATACTTTATCATGTCTTGACGCTGTGGTAGAGATTATCATGTGTTGACGCTGTGGTATACTTATCCTGTGTGGACGCTGTAGCACTCTTGGGATTTTGTGCTTGTGTTGACTCTGCAATATTTGTCCCTGTGCGTTGATGCTGTGGTATATTTTTATGTCTTGTTGTGTTGATGGTGTAGTGTTATGCAGTATACTCGATACTCGGTCGACTTTTGTAACATTTTCTCATTAAATATTGTGATTTGACCTGCTTAGCTGAAACTTACATAAAAAACAATTCGTCGTCGATAAAAAAATATTACAAAGCTCTTACATCACTGCCGACGATCCAGTCCTTTCCTCCAATCATGTCCTCAAAGTTCTTTACAAATTTTGGGACTACGGTTTTTCCAAGTTCGGCCTTCAGTTCATCCTACGAATGAGAATTACGTAAAAACATAAATACTTAGATAATGAATCAATGCAAATCATTGTGTACACGTAGACGTTTATTATGAAAGAATTCCGATCAAAAGGACAGCTTATATTACTCAATTTAGTTGTATCTAAACAGGTTGGAAATTTCATCAAAATTGAATTTCTACAGCAATTTCCACTGAGTACGATATCAATACTCTGGTATATGTAGTAGTGTATCGACTTAAACAAAGTATTATATACTTTCAGGAAAGTATTACTGTGTACAGTAAGCTATACTATATTGAGTTCAGTTAGGGAGTAAAATGTTGACCAGAGAGCTATTAGATCAAGGAGAAAGTATGTCACTTGAATCTTGAACTGAAATGAAAACAACGTCAATTCTAACGTATAATATAACATTTAATATATGAAAGTAAATGATCAATCAAACAACTACATGCTTCTAAAAGACTGCAGTGTATAAAATACTCTATATTATTATATTACCTTCGTTTTCTCGTCACTTGCAGTATAAATCTTGATGAGTTCTTTGAACAAATCCTCTATCGTTTCCAAGGCAACATCCACCATGGAATTCTCCATGTTATTTTTACCATACAGACCTGGAAGGAATACAGAGAAATAATTTCTTGTGCTTTTTTTCTTCTCTGTGTGTGTGTGCGTGTGTGTGTGTGTGCATGTGTGTGTGCGTGCGTGCGTGTGTGTGTGTGTGTGTGTGTGGGGGGGGGGGGGGTATTTTATATCATTGACAAGAAACACTGAATTTACAGTACATTTAAACTATTAACACCATCTGGTCATGCTCATACGTAGATTTTGTGCTTAAACCAATTTTCTTGTAATTTGGTAAAATCATATTACGCAGTCAAAAAGTCTTGTCAACGCATTAAAAATGGTATTTGGTTTCTCATCTTCTCTCAAGAGTTCTTCCGTCGACAAGATGTGAATTTTTATTTATTTATAACAGGAACAATGAATTGGGCTTCAGCTCAGAATCTGAGTTTGAGCGTGAGAACAGTTTCATGAATACGGGCCCAGGAGCCAGCAAAAAATGGCTGTACAGAGCTAATGTTTACATATACGACACTAAATATATCTTCTCGTTTCTTGGTGTAGCAATATGACTGTGTTTATCCACAAAAATACTATAGATTACTGTTAATACCGCATTTAATATATCAATCTACCAGTGTAGATACTACCAAGCATTGAAAGAAAAGTGACATTGTAAAAGTGACAGTATTATTTAGTACGTACCAAATTCACGGGCCACAAAGCGAGCCATAGCGCCACTCTGACAGATGACAGTCTTCTTTCCACCTGATTCTACCTCCATTATAGGAAGCTGGCCCTGCGGCACACCTGTAAGGAAACAAGTGATTTATAAATTAAAAATTGAATAGAAAAGTCTGCTATCAGTTGTTCAGGGAGAAGGTAATACCGAATCGCAACTTTCGGTCAAAGGTCAAAGATATGCAGATGTCTTTAATACTTTTTGTTGATATATGGTAACTTCACATTGATATAAAAAAGGATAAAGAATATAAAAATATTTTGCCAAGAAGTCATGCACACCTTAAAATTTCGTTTGCGTTTCTTTTGCAGGAAATGTTTGATTTTCGGTAAGACACAGGTAGCAGACATGTGTGCGACAGGGATACACATTTAAACATTATCTTTGTACACAAAGGGACAACAAACCCCTAAAAGACACAGATGTAGTATGACATTGCTATCACTTCCAGATGCATCATTTGCGACTAAAGGGTTAGTTTTGGCGCTTTATGTAACAGTCCCTGTTTCAATAGATATTGCTTACTTAATAATAATAATAAAAAAATGTATATACCCCTCAAGAGCGATTGATTTCACATCTGCTTTAATTAGATCATGTGGTGTACAGATTTCGTGTATTTTGTTCCGTAAGTGACCTTGGTCATTGGAATCTAGTAGTTATAGGACATTTCCGGAGTTTAGCGTTTATCCGTTGTCTAGTTGTACATCTATTGTTGGAAACACATTTAATTTTACTTCAATTAAGTTAATTAGTTATTTGTTCTAATGATACGCCTATTTTAATAAAAAAAAAATATGGCAGTTGAAATTCCTAACTAGAATTATGTCCGTGTGACATTAAAGGAACTCAACACTTTAAATTCAATTGCTTCAGTAACACGTTGAGCATCAATATCTACTTATAATACATTGTACCTCAGATATTTGTTCTGTATTCTGCTAATTGACAATCAGGTCATGTGATGATGTTGCCTTTGGAATTTCCAAAATCAATCACCTCTTAAATGATGCCTTAAAAACATTTCTCCCTCTCCTGTTTTTTCACCCTTGTTTAAGTGTGACGCATTGTTGTAATTTTCATTAATTAGCAGAATGGCAATCGGTGAATGGATAATAAAGAATAGGTGCATTTTGTGCTTGTGAAATGAAGGATGATTAACAGTAGTGGGAAAACATGCATGGAGAAAAGGGACATTGTACTCCTTTTATTTTTATTTATTCATATTAATAATAATTATTAATATATGTAGTGACTTTATTTACTGTCATTGAATATACAAAATCTCACAAATGTTTTTGGAATATATTTGAATTATATTTCTCAATGCGACTTTACCAACGTAACAGTTATTTCCCTTACACCGGATTGGTTAATATTTTGACACTGCGCGAATTCTTGTCAAACAGCCGCGGCAGTTGTGTCATGTTCTTAAATTACTACACTTTCATAAATAAATACACCAGAAATAGCATCCTGTGTTACAGAAATGTTTGATAGACATACACAGTTCACACATCGTCTCGTCTCAGAGCCATTACCGTTATCAACCTAAGCCCGATATGTCATATTACGTTCCCGTTTGAAACATCAAAATAGAGGTTATACTTCATCACTCAGTATATATATTTACTTCTTCCTTCTACAGACAGTCTTCCCATGTGCTTTCTCGAATGATATGTGTTTCACACGCGTAACACTCCTCAGACCTCAATCCGAGTTGCTAAAAGTAAAACGCTGAAATCTAGTGCACGAATTTCATCACCACAACAATCTTCGTTGAAGTCGGGTGTCGCCCCTTTGTAATCTTTAGAGGACAGGTATCAGCCTTGCGATTGGTCTTTTATTTTTTACCTGAGACCAATCAAACAGCAATCTTCGTGCCTTCAATTTTGCCATGACATATAAGCGTAACCCCTGGATATCGAGGATGGTTGAAACTAAGATCAAGACAAAGTACGGTTGGCTAGCGTAGCTGGATAGCGCATTTGCATATGTCGGCCGGTAATTAATTCATGATAAGGAATGGGGTCATCTACCCCACTACATATACGTGGGCTTTCTCCGGGTGCTCGATTTCCTTTCATGGGTTACCTGTCCGCTTCCATCCGAGTCAACGAGAGTGATTTTAAAAAGTCGCAATCTAATTAAAATCATCTGTTACATGGCTCCGCCTGTTCAGGTGTAGTACGAAGTTAACGAAGCCATGTAACAGATGATTTTAATCAGATTGAAAAAGTTGTTTCATAATTTTAGAATAAAGTTTATTCAAAAAAGATAAAACATCACGAATGATATCCATCGGGCAATACCCCAATAGCGATAAAAAGCTGTGGGTGAGAAATCGGACCGGGCCAGAAAACGTGTTACTTATGTCCATGTGTTTTGCACGATTTCTCACCCGGATTAGAAATCGTGTTTCGAATGCAACAATCTTAGCACGTGTTGGGGTGTGAAATCGTGGCGTAACAGAGTTACAAAAAGTCAATCAATTAATTCATGAACTTCATGATCAATTAATGTGGTTCTGTCGTGTTACTACATGTAGTACGTATCGGTCAACTATACAGTTTGATCTTGTCAAGTTTGCTATGCACTTTTACCAAAAAGCGATCTTAGAGATACGTTATGCTAGAAATTTAACAAAAGTAACGCGAAACCATAGTATTGGAATACTCTAGTATACCACAGGGTAGTCCGAAATATTCTGACGTTTTATCGATTTTTTTTATATCGATATAAAAAAGTCGATAAAACGTCAGAATAATTAGGACTAACCACAGGGTTTACGCTCATTTTCACTCTGTGTCTAGCGCAAAGGCGAGAGTAACCCCTGGATTATCGAGGATATAGTACTGGTGCCCCGGGATATATCTGTATACAATATTCAATAGTTAGCTGCGGTTAAACTACGTGTATAGAGCGACACATGCTCGAGACGGAGCCATGCGTTTCAGGGGTAGATGGGAGGTAATACATGTACGGCGTACCTATATACAAATGTACCAGGCATCCACCCAAAGTGGTGTAAATCATCTTCATTACCATCTATAGTCCTTTTTATTGAGAAATTATTGAATAACTTTTTCTGAATAAATAGTTACACGAACCAACTTTACGAGTGGTTTTAACCTACTTTTGTAACACTCCGACGAACCCCGCCATCCAATTTTAATCCCACCTTTATTTTGTCTTTACAATATACACAATGTACCTTTGTATGGATAGACTAGGAGGATATATTAAAAGTGCGCTGTACAGTTCAAAGCTAGAGTACTATAGGCTCAGCTCCGACTTCAGGCATAATTGTCAAAGTTATTTGTTCTCTAATAAAATTGAGTCCTTTGAACCTGTATTGAGTGATATCTTATAATACCCTTGGTATTTCATACAGCGTCATGTAAGTGTATATATTTTGTAATAGGCTCATAACTTTCCTCAAAATGAATAAAGTATGGAAGTCGCTTCGTATACTCATGTCAAGAGCCATGTCAATAATTACCTTTGCAGAAATGATTTGTCGAAAACATTGTTGATTTTGTCTGAAAAGTAACGCTTGAATGCGGAATTTGAATGGCGCAAAATTGTAATGTATAATGTAATTAATGAAAAAACTTACTTGTACATGCATTCCTGAAGTATCCATGTAGTGACTATTGTCGATGAAAATGTGAGAAAATGCTTCAAATCTCCAGAATAATGACATGTATTTTAATTGGATATTTTACAATAATTCATAAAGCTAACAAGACTTTTGATACAAGTCAAGCCATCTTACCTGAGTGAGAACCTGTAGTGAATGGTGGATAGGTAAAATCTCACTTGCTTTGCATGCAGTCAGGGGAAATATATGCCATTATTCTGGAGATTTGACAAATTTTCTTACATTTTCATCGACAATAGTCACTACATGGATACTTCAGGAATGCATGTACAGGCACGTTTTTTCATTAATTTCATTATACATTGCAATTTTGCGCCATTCAAATTCCGCATTCAAAAGTTACTTTTCAGACAAAATCAACAATATTTTCGACAAATCATTTCTGCAAAGGTAATTATTGACATTGATCTTGACATGAGTATACGAAGCGACTTCCATACTTTATTCATTTTGAGGAAAGTTAATAACCCATTACAAAATATATACACTTACATGACGCTATATGAAATACCTTAAGCCGACCAGATAATTATTGATTAATGTACCGAATGTGGTGTTAATAATGACCGAAGTTCATCGGTTTTGCTATTATACCCATTTTAACAGAAAATGAAGTATCATCAGATGGTCGTACTCTATCGGTGCACACGTGTTTATACTTTCCCAGGACTTATAAAACATGAAATACACTACCACAATATATGTAGCGAAGTTACCTGGCTTGAAGTCTTTGCCATGATCTTCGTACAATCTCTGAACCAATTAATTGATGTAATACTTCCAAGGACACCTGTACATTTCGACAATTGTGCTGATCTATCACCGGTAACATGTGTACGGCTATTCGACACGCATACACTATATTTACAATTTATACTGTAGTTCACAACCTACAACATGCACGCATGCACGCGTGTCAATTCAATTCAATTAGTTTATTCTGTAAGCCTTACGACTTATAAGATACAAAACCCAATATTAATACATATTAACAGGTTAAACAGAGTAATGATGTACAGGAGAGTGATAATTGTATGTAATCGTATCACACACACACACACACACACACACAAGAGTGTGGACTGAGAGCTGATACGATGCAAACTTACTTGGCTTCATTTTCTTCCATTCGTCACTTGTCAGTCGCACGTCATTGAACTCAACTTCTTTAGCAGCAAATGCCAGTCTCGTCACCTCGGCCCTTCCTGCGGCATCGAAATAGGTAATTGTGTATTTCGCGGCCATGCTGATCGACTTTTCAAATATCGTACAAGCGAGTGTGTGTATAAAGAACTAGAACGTGTATGCTTCAAGCGTTTCTCAGCTAGTGTGCGGTGTAGCAGGTCACGCTTTTATATAGCAGTGGAGGATAGGGTCACTATATAGATCGAATACGTGAAGTGGAGGGTACTAATTAGAACGCCAGAGTATGTTGAAATACACACTCCTATGTCGTTATACATAATGTACATCGTACATGGGGGATAGTGAAAATACAATCAGAGCAATATGTGACAGCAGTGACTGATACATATATACAACAAACTATTTAATAACAAGTTTGTTACGTTTTAAATTTATTTTCTTATCTGTCACATAACAATCATTACCCGCTGATAATAAACCTTTTATTTTGTTTTATCGGAATACGTACAATGATAGTTTGGAATAAGCAAATTTCTTAGTCGGCATATTGGTTCGTGTTTACAAAAAAATATATTTTTTTACATCACCAATCCATTCGAAAAAAACTGAAACAAATAGGAATGTTTTGGCTTATCCTGCTAAATAAACCTGGGACTTTTGAAAATCGCAATTGTAGTTAAATATATACTACTAGCAATATATGGGAAGGGTTCAGCAATTTCAAATTCTTCATTACTAAACGAAAAGTGGGCCTGACTGAGTGTTCATACAAAACACTAAAAATTCTATTTTTCAATGAAAAAACTGTTAACAGTGAGTTTCAATGTACCACACCATTGCCTTATAAGTTAACACCGGTTCGTTGTTATCGATTTCACTCCAGTCGTACAGACGGCGTGTCGGTACCTGTTCTTTAATTCAACAATAGAGACATATAAATAAGACAACATAACTTAAACTTCATTAAATAAACAAACAATAGGCGTTCTTTTAGGAGCCAACAGCTGTTACTAATGTGTATGGACGATAGGCATAGGTACACGATACCGTTTACGATGAAAATCTATGTATTGCTTCTGAAAATTTGAACAAAAGAACTACGCGTGTCCATACCGTAGCTCATGATCATTTTCGAAGAAGGAACAAATCGCGTTCGAAAGTTGTGCGTTATATGATGGAAAATTGTTTTGCCTTATACGAAAATGAGGCTTTCGTAATAAAACTATCAAAGGTGAACAATGTTGCAATCGATAAGTTATTTGGACAAAGTTTTAATGATACAGTATCACATTTTGTTTTGTTTAAATTGAATTGTTCATCGAGTGTGTGTGTATATATATATACATTTGTTTTGGGTCAAAGAAGTAATATAGACGGTAAAATCCCATATAACACTGGATCCTAATGGAGGTATGTCCGTAGGATACGAATTACTTAAAATAGTATATGGGGCAAAGAAGTAATTCCAACAGAACAGTTACATGTACATATACATCATATTACAAGAAGATAGAACTGATATACTATAATTGAAAATATAGCTATTATATAAAACCAATAGTCCCCTTTGCCCCTGCTGTGACTGTTAAATCCACTGCAGCATTGAGAGGCGACTAATGTGGGCAGTCCGTAGGAAGTTGAGATTTTTTCACATTTACCGGGCCAGATTCCCACGTGCACATATTCCACGTTTTTGATATCTCGTCCCTTCTTTCTGGTGCTTATCTCTCGTTGACTCACTTGATGTGATGGTGCATCTTGCGCAAGAATAGGTCCTCTACATTTAGTAGTTAAAGAGTTTTCTAGAGGGATTCTTCTCCGATTTTGGTTATCATTTTGCGGGTCGTTGTGTTTCATTGGGCGAGTCGTCTTAGTGCACTTTCGCTATAGAGTAGAGCCAGCGAGCGTTCTGATATTTAGACTATCTGCGTTCCTTGTCCGCGATGATCTCAGCTTAACTGCTGCCTTCGGCTGTCTTTAGCCGAGGGGACTGTTGGTTTTATATTATAGCTATATTTTCAATTATAGTATATCAGTTCTATCTTCTTGTAATATGATGTATATGTACATGTAACTGTTCTGTTTCACTGTGTCTTGATAAAGGAGCGGGTCGCTATGAAAATTTGACAACCTCAACTTGTCCACACTGTTGGAATTACTTCTTTGCCCCATATACATTTGTTTTGTAATATTGGTACGGCTACTACAAATGGTTATAAGCTTTTGGGGGTATATCTAACTCACGCGTGCTTTTGTCTCATTGGTATTACTTCGTGTGTGTGTGTAATCATACAATCTTGTCCATGTAGCTTCAAAGTACATGTATAAACGATTTAAAAACAACACGCAATAAATTAAGCCATTTTTAGGAGAACAACATCATAATTAATAGGATTTATTGTGGTTAATCACAAACACACTCTTCCATATTCGCATTGCAATGTATCACACACATCAGTGGCGGATCCAGAGACCTATCTGGGGGGGTTTCCAAATTTCCTTGGGGGGTTTCCATGTTGGAAAAATTTGAAATTTGAGGAAAATGGTGAAAATATATGATTTTTAAAGAAAATTCTCAGGGGGGGGGGGGCCCTGAAGCCCCCAAAAAACCTCTGGATCCGCCACTGCACATGGAAGATTGTCCTTTAATGACCAATTAGCTGTTGGTAGGAAGGTGAACTCCAGAAACCAAACTTAACTAAACCTTACACAAACATGTGGGTACAATGTGTGTTTCGTTTAAAACTTCGTACTACGTATATACATAAACAATGTGAATAAATAGACCGGGTCACTATAGTACTATACCCATCGCCACGTAGGACATGTGGTGGGGCTCCTATACTCAAGTAGAAATCCTTTACAGGGTTGACTTTAATCGTGCTCACTGGAGCATGGCATTCGCTTCATCATTCTGACTTTAACGTTTTTGAGAACTACTAACAGTAGAGTAGTTAGGTAGTGATAATGCTGACGAAAATACCCGGAGTTCAGGAGATGGAATGGTAGGAGTCTATATATAGACTTTCATTAATTTAGATAATGACTCATAGATGTGTGTTCTCTACATACGTGTATCAAAAACTATGACGAATACCGACAGTCATTAATACAAATAAAAGTCAACTAAGTCAAGATCACTTTAGTTTCTGATTGGTGTGCCAGATAGTCTAATTCTTTTGAGAAAAGCCTTTTAGATCAGTATTAAACGAATTTATTATGCTTATCTTTTCTGGCCAATATCAACAAGATATCCAATATTGACAGATGCATTATTTTACTTCTAGCTAATTTTCCAGAGACAACAAATGGAAAGTGAAGTTACTCAGGGGTATGGAGAGACACGTTTCAATTTTTAGAAGTCATGCATCAGTCAAGCAGACAAAAGGTAAATAAAGCTGTGTCACAAATGATACATGTATTTTCTGAAAATCTGTCACATCTTCTTGCCATATTTCTTATCAAACTGGTTCATTTATAAATAAGTGGACAAAATATTGGGGAAAATTAAAACCAGGATGGCTTAGGCATGTATTCAGGATGGTAAGGTAGAACTCCGATGGGTCCAGTACCGAATGGTAGACAGACACCTAAGATAGAACTCCGATGGGTATTGTACAGACTGAGTGTCAGAAACCTAAGGTAGAAATCCGATGGGTACCGTCTGTACAAACGAGTAGACAGACACCTAAGGTAGAACTCCGATGGGTACTGTGTCGACTGTAGACAGAAACCTTAGGTGGACTCCGATGGGTATATATGTACTGCACCAACTGGTAGACAGAAACCTCAGGTAGAAATTCTATGGGTACTCTACCGACCGGTAGACAGACAACTAAAGTAGAACTCCGATGGGTATTGTACCGATTGTAGACAGACACCTAAGGTAGAACTTCGATGTGGTAGACAGACACCTAAGGTAGAAATCCGATGGGTGCTGTACCGACTGATAGACAGACACCTAATGTAGAAATCCGATGGGTACTGTACTGACTGATAGACAGACACATAAGGTAGAAATCCGATGTGTACTGCACAGACTGATAGGCAGAAACCTAAGGTAGAACTCCGATGGGTACTGTACTGACTGATAGAAACCTAAGGTAGTACCCCGATGGGTACTGTACTGACTGATAGAAACCTAAGGTAGAACTCCGATGGGGACTGTACTGACTGGTAGAAACCTAAGGTAGAACCCCGATGGGTACTGTACTGACTGATAGAAACCTAAGGTAGAACTCCGATGGGTACTGTACTGACTGGTAGAAACCTAAGGTAGAACCCCGATGGGTACTGTACAGACTGGTAGACAGACACCTAAGGTAGAACTCCGATTGGTACTGCTGACTGGTAGACAGAAACCTTAGGTGGACTCCGATGGGTATATCTGTACTGCACCAACTGGTAGACAGAAACCTCAGGTAGAACTCCGATGTGGTAGACAGACACCTAAGGTATAACTCCGATGGGTACTGTACAGACCGGTAGACACACACCTAAGGTATAACTCCGATGGGTACTGTACAGACCGGTAGACAGAAACCTAAGGTAGAACTCCGATGGATACTGTACTGACTGGTAGACGGAAACCTAAGGTAGAACTCCGATGGGTACTGTACAGACTGGTAGACAGAAACCTAATGTAGAAATCCGATGTGTACTGTACTGACTGATAGAAACCTAAGGTAGAACCCTGGTGGGTACTGTACAGACTGGTAGACAGATACCTAAGGTAGAACCCCGAGGGGTACTGCACAGACTGGTAGACAGACACCTAGGCAGCTTACGACCACTTGTACAGTACTGTAACTACCGACCTTTGAAAGTTTGACTTTATATTGGCTGAGGGGCACTATGTCAGGTGCATTCACAATGGAAAATCTTTAAGTGGAATTATTACTTGTTAAATAATTTATCAATATAAAGATTTGCTCATATATTCAATTGACGTTTAACCCTGCGTTATCTTAGATCGATTGAGGTATTTATTTGTGAATGCGATCATTGGAGTATTGCTTATATCAGTCCTTTCATACGTTGTAGTGAATTTGCTGATAAAGTTTGGTGCATTCATTTATATGATAAAAAACCACGTAGAAGCAGTTAAGACTTTTAAACGTCGAACAGCAAAACAGGGTCCATGATTCTGCAATCTGCCTTATACGGAACGTTTGCACAAACTAACATTACCGACTCTGGCATGAAAAGTATGTAGTAAATCAGATGACATCTAATCAGCCAAAAAATAAAAAAAAAATATGTAATTATTTCAAATATTTAAGAGTAAATCGATGTGTAAGTAAGATACACATAGATTCATCGTGCTATTGATCAGGTAGGATCTGCCTAAACACGAACCCCTACATGTACTAGTATCCTACAAATGTACCCCTATATGTACATACTTCTAGTACGCACCGTCGCTGTGTCAGCTAATTATGCAGTCATGCTGCGTTTTTCAGACAAGGCCCTGATAGCTGACAATACACCAAGTATTACGTATTGTATTATAACGATTTTTATTCTGCATCAACGTTAGTAATTTGTAATTGTATCAGACCTTGGAATCACATTACAAAGCAGGTCACTTTGCAGGACGTTGTTTGGCACGACATGAATGCTAGAAGATTTCATGTAGGTCAAAAGAAAACGTCTGTACTCGATGTGTCTGCAAACCTTGTCAGTGTTTGTGTTCGTATATCGACCAATACCTGTGTGTCTGCTCTCTCTTACCTGAAGAATATGATGTACACGTACAATGTATAGAAACTGCTTAACGAACAGCTCTCTGCGCTGTACGGTTTGGGTAAATAATATTCTTGCTCTATCTATTCTTCATTCTAAACACGAAGGAGAGAGATTTTCAGAATAGGACAAGTAAAGGTTATTGCATGGTTTTCAAGTAACAAGGGATTTATTACACCTGAGCGAAGCGAGGGTGTAATGAGTCCCGAGTGACGAGAAAGCATGCAATACCTGTCTTACTGCATGCTTCCCAACTCGAACAAAACAGAAAAAAATGAGTAAAAAATGTTCACCTGGACAATCTTTTAACCTACCCTACACTGCAGATAATTTACATGTACCTGTGTGAGTGAGTACTAATCAGAACCAGGTAAGTTTGTCTTTATTTTCAATAGCCAAGTCTGAGTGTATCGTTCATAATGAATACACGTGTTTTTGGATTACTATCCAGCTCCAGTGTCAGGGAACGTAAGGAGTGTCTGTTCAACAATTAGAACAAAATAGGGAAACAATGTTGAATTTCTGACTACATTTTCAGTTTAATTTTCAAGATGTGGCAACGGTACAGAATATTGAAACCATTTTCATACATACGATGTAAGGGTTTATCAATCCCTAAGGAATTCAATTTCTTTCAATGAATGGTATATTTGAATGTTCAATTTTGTATAAAGAAACAGCTCTAAAGATTATAAACTTTTCCAGGAAATGCTTATCCTCTCACGTGATAAGGAAATCAATAACGCTGCCAACTCAGTAATTTTGTTTGTTTGTTTTTCAATCATGAAATTACCATTTTTAACTTCTTCTTTTTTTCTTATTTTGAATGTGTCAATTAAGTTTATCTTTTTTACTGTATTGACATCATCGTTACTTACTTATTGATTATCTCCCCTTTCTTACAGCATTTGTGACTACAGTCCACTGGGCACACACCCTTTCATGGTCATGTGATCATGATTGGCCGTGAGCGGGATTATATGTGCAGTGGACTGTGGTAGCAAGTGATTTATTGGCCACATTGTTCCATTGTGAGAGTTGGGAAGTATGCAGTAAGAAGGAGTGACAATCATCTATCAAATAACACACTGACAACACGTTTTTGTTACATAGTACATTTTAATTGGTCAATAAATGAACCTTACAATAGACCCATGATAGGAACATGAAGTTAGTAGTTTTTCTAAGCCTCAGCACTGAGTAATCGTCAGAGATACTGCGATCGTTACGAAGTTAGTGTTAAATCGGGCTGTGGGCAAATAACCATTGTACCAGATAATCTATCACATTAGAACATCAAAACTAAACGAGATGTGATGAATACTCAATGAAACACTCTTTTGTTTGTTAACGAACATTCAACACAAGTTATATTTACACTTCCGTGATATTGTCCAGTTAAAATTTAGTTTTAGGACGAGTGTCCAGCCATATTTTGACATGTTCGACGGACTTGACACGGTCAGCATGCACTTTTAGTTTGGGATACCCAGCATAGATATCATTTCCGCTTTCTTCCATGACCGTCTTAGCTATGGCCTCAAACGCGTTGAACACTGCTAGATCAGCAAGCGAAAGCTGCAAGAAAACAGAAGCAGAACTCTGACATAGTTCACCGAATATTACAGCAGTATAATTTACTTAAACCTTGCCATCATGCTTGAATTCGTCGTACATTTACGATAATAATTTAAGTTTTGATGCTAAAAAATAGAATAAGCTACACATTCGCGAATAAATATATGTTTTAGTGCGAGAGTGTAACGGGATGAGTGTTTTGGTGTGAGAAAGGGGAAGGACTATTGGATGAAGGAAGAAACCTGTCCAGTGAGTGAGCATCCTCGATATTACAGGGGTTATGATCACTATCGCTCTCTGCATCACTGGAAAATGTCATAGCACCGAATGAATGTGTCAAACATTTTGATCGGTCTCGGGTGAAAAAAAAACACCTGACCAATCGCTATGCTGATACCTGTTCCTTGAAGATTATCGACACCAGACTTCAAAGCTCGTCATTTGTTTCTGTAATACGACCGCAAGATGTACATCAAAGGATCAAACGAATCTTTTCGTCTCATCTACAAGGTGGCACACACTAAACTTTTGATTTTGTGGTGACATATTCTAGGGGTGCAGTGAGCGAAAGTGAGCGTTACTACTGGAGAATCCAGGATGGTGTATTGGTCTGAAGTGAGAAATGTGTTTGGTGTATTGGTCTGTAGCGAGAAATGTGTTTGGCGAATTGGTCTGAAGTGAGTAATGTGTTTGGTGTATTGGTATGAAGTGAGAAATGTCTTTGGTGTAGTGGGCTGCAGTGAGAAATGCGTTTGGTGTATTGGTCTTAAGCGAGAAATGTGTTTGGTGAATTGGTCTGAAGTGGGAAAGGTGTTTGGTGTATTGGGCTGAAGTGAAAGATTTGTCTGGTGCTCGCAGCTGAAGGGTGATTCTTGGTTGGTGTAGTGGGCTGGAGTGAGAAATGGGATTGGTGTCTTGGTCTGAAGTGAGTAATGTGTTTGGTGTAGTGGGTTGAAGTGAGAAATGTCTTTGGTGTAGTGGGCCGAAGTGAGAAATGTGTTTGGTGCATTGGTCTGAAGTGGGAAATGTGTTTGGTGTAGTGGGCTGGAGTGAGAAATGTGTTTGATGTATTGGTCTGAAGGGAGAAATGTGTTTGGTGCATTGGTCTGAAGTGGGAAAGGTGTTTGGTGTATTGGTATGAAGTGAGAAATGTCTTTGGTGTAGTGGGCTGCAGTGAGAAATGCGTTTGGTGTATTGGTCCGACGTGAGAAATGTGTTTGATGTATTGGTCTGAAGCGAGAAATGTGTTTGGAGTATTGGTCTGAAGAGAGACATGTGTTTGGTGTATTGGTCTTAAGTGAGAAATGTGTTTGGTGTAGTGGGCTGAAGTGAGAATACTGTTTGTCTTGTGAAGTGGGCGAAATTGAAGGATTTATCAGGTGAATTGGGCTGAAGTGAAAGATTTGTCTGGTGCTCTCAGCTGAAGGGTGATTCTTGTTTGGTGTAGTGGGCTGAAAAGAGATATTTGTCTGATGTAATGGACTGAAGGGAGATACATGTCTGGTGTAATGGACTGAAGGGAGATACTTGTCTGGTGTAGTTGACTGAAGGGAGACACTTGTTTGGTGAAGTTGGCTGAAGGGTGATACTTGTATGGTGTAGTTGGCTGAAGGGTGATACTTGTCTGGTGTAGTTGGCTGAAAGGAGACACTTGTTTGGTGTAGTTGGCTGAAGGAAGATACTTGTCTGGTGTAGTTGGCTGATGGGAGATACTTGTCTGGTGTAGTTGACTGAAGTGAGACACTTGTTTGGTGAAGTTGGCTGAAGGGCGATACTTGTCTGGTGTAGTTGGCTGAAGTAAGATACTTGTCTGGTGTAGTTGGCTGATGGGAGATACTTGTCTGGTGTAGTTGACTGTAGGGAGATACTTGTTTGGTGAAGTTGGCTGAAGGGGGATACTTGTTTGGTGTAGTTGGCTGAAGGGTGATACTTGTCTGGTGTAGTTGGATGAAGGGTGATACTTGTCTGGTGTAGTTGGATGAAGGGTGATACTTGTCTGGTGTAGTTGGATGAAGGGAGATACTTTTCTGGTGTAGTTGGCTGAAGGGAGATACTTGGCTGGTGGAGTTGACTGAAGGGTGATACTTGTCTGGTGTAGTTGGATGAAGGGAGATACTTGTCTGGTGTAGTAGACTGAAGGGAGACACTTGTTTGGTGAAGTTGGCTGAAGGGAGACACTTGTCTGGGGTAGTTGGCTGAAGGGGGATACTTGTTTGTTGTAGTTGGCTGAAGGGAGGAACATGTCTGGTGTAGTTGGCTGAAGGGAGGTACTTTTCTGGTGTAGTTGGCTGAAGGGTGATATTTGTCTGGTGTAGTTGGCTGAAGGGTGACACTTGTTTGGTGTAGTTGGCTGAAGGAAGATACTTGTCTGGTGTAGTTGGCTGAACGGAGACACTTGTTTGGTGTAGTTGGCTGAAGGGTGATACTTGTATGGTGTAGTTGTCTGAAGGGTGATACTTGTCTGGTGTAGTTGGCTGATGGGAGATACTTGTCTGGTGTAGTTGACTGTAGGGAGATACTTGTTTGGTGAAGTTGGCTGAAGGGCGATACTTGTCTGGTGTAGTTGGCTGAAGGAAGATGCTTGTCTGGTGTAGTTGGCTGAAGGGAGGTACTTTTCTGGTGTAGTTGGCTGAAGGGTGATATTTGTCTGGTGTAGTTGGCTGAAGGGTGATACTTGTCTGGTGTAGTTGGCGGAAGGGTGATACTTGTTTGGTGTAGTTGGCTGAAGAGAGACACTTGTTTGGTATAGTTGGCTGAAGGGAAAAACGTGTGACGTTGTCTGGTGTGTAGGCTGACGGTTAAAAAAATATTTGGTAAATTAGGCTAAATGAATATATATATGACGTAGTTTGATGAAAGGATATTTGTCTGATGTAATGGACTGAAGGGAGATACATGTCTGGTGTAATGGACTGAAGGGCGATACTTGTCTGGTGTAGTTGACTGAAGTGAGACACTTGTTTGGTGAAGTTGGCTGAAGGGAGACACTTGTCTGGGGTAGTTGGCTGAAGGGAGATACTTTTCTGTTGTAGTTGGCTGAAGGGAGATACTTGTTTGGTGTAGTTGGCTGAAGGGAGATACTTGTCTGGTGTAGTTGGCTGAAGGGTGATACTTGTTTGTTGTAGTTGGCTGAAGGGAGAAACATGTCTGGTGTAGTTGGCTGAAGGGAGATACTTGTCTGGTGTAGTTGGCCGAAGGGTGATACTTGTTTGTTGTAGTTGGCTGAAGGGAGAAACATGTCTGGTGTAGTTGGCTGAAGGGTGATACTTGTTTGGTGTAGTTGGCTGAAGAGAGACACTTGTTTGGTATAGTTGGCTGAAGGGAAAAACGTGTGACGTTGTCTGGTGTGTAGGCTGACGGTTAAAAAAATATTTGGTAAATTAGGCTAAATGAATATATATATGACGTAGTTTGATGAAAGTAGAAAAGTTTCTGGTGAGTGGACAGGAGGGAGAAATGTCAGGGAATGATGGAGAGGCTAGTCCTGTGTCGGAGGATGAATAGTGATAGCGATCCTGTGTCGGAAAATAAAGGAGAATAACATTTTAATGCGGGGATACACTGGGAAACTGACTGTACATTGATAAAAGGGAGTTAACTTTCTGATGGATGATAATAAAATAACTGTTTTGTATCGGAGAGAAACTGTCTTGAACGGTGAAATGTAATTATCACGCTGGGTTTATACCTTTGATCCAACCATCCAATCGTTTTCTCCAAGCATTTTCTCGAAGACCGCCAGAAAGCGTGGTACTGTCTCGCCATCAAAGACTTTCGTAAGTTTTTGCTGAAAATGACAACATTTTGCTTCGTATTATTTGGTTATCGAAAATTCAAGCAACTGTAAATTTATACATAGGTTATATCAAAGGTGTTTGAAATTCTGACTGTAAATTGAGATATATATATCATATATAGAAATAAGGAAATTACTATAAAAATGGTACAGTACTTTTTGTTTATAGTAATACACTTATTTTCATATAATATATATATCTCAATTTACAGTCAGAATTTCAAACACCTTTGATAATATAGTAAAATAATCCGGACCACATATAATTACTTAAGTGTATCTAATTTTATAAGCATAAAAATAAAAAAGATTTATAAATGTCTTGATATCCTGATAAAAATGTATGTATCTTGAACAATAATATATATAAAAAATACATCACACCTTTTCCTCTTCGTCTTTTTCGAAAAGCGATTTCATTCTTTCTTTACTAAAATCGTTGAGGGTTTCGAGGACCACATCCACCATGGTCATTTCCATATTACCCTTACCGTAAAGATCTGCAATACAGAGTTGGAGGTTTTACTGTAGGTTGGGTGTTTCAGTCCCGAGATTAGGTGATAGCTCCAAATTAAATTCAATGTACTATATATGTGGCGAAATTCCATTATATCACGAGTGTTAATATCGTAGCATTTTACGCCATATTCTTATAACGTCATGCTTGAAAACAGAGCTGTGCGCCTTTTTGAATAGGCTCCTTTGTTAAATTCAAACTAGAACCGATTGGTAGAATAAGTTACTCCTTTTGGGCGATATATTGGGATCTCGAAGCGAGGGGAAGATTCTTAAGTTGGAATAACACACGGCTTGCTGAATGATTGTCTTTCTCCGACGGTTAAGATTTTCCTATCTAAACTACAAGCGGGTGAATTATTTTTTTTCTCTGAACTGTTTAACCCTGTAAAATATTCAATGCAATGTTGACGTAAGGTCAACTCTTTCACCGACCATTCCCCATCAAAAATTTAACTTTGAGACGACAGATTCCCTGACTGCTATTTTCTAATTTCTTATTCATAGACCGTAAACCGTTGACATGTCTTCCATTTACCTACCTAGGGATTCTATTAATATCATTCGTTATGTTAACCCATATAAGTGTACTGTGACGGTATCTAAGTAGGAATCCACACCGCTCCCCCCAATTCCTGCATACAGGGATTCCCCGTTTGGAGGAGGTTTTTGAATAGGTGAAATGGTTGATGCATTGTTCACATGACGTATATCAGTAACTACAACAGGGGAATCTTCCCGTGTCAACCCTGGAATGAGACAGGAATTCTCTCTTTTCTGTGCATGTAAGGAAAATACAATCTATAACTCTTGTGTCAGGTAGGAGACAGAGAAATCATAATCCGCGGGTAAGACTTTTGCGCTATCATCGTGAGCGCATGGAATGGATGACACAACTATCCTGGTAACACTCCATAGAGTGATGACGCGATAGTCACATTTTGGAATAATAGCACGTGTGTGCGATCTTTCCTTAGGTAGATAAAGAGTATAAGACTCTTTCATGCCCAGTGATGTAGGATAGGGATTCCACCCGAGGGTTTTTCAAATGTGTACGGTCGATACATGTATATTGTAAAAGGTTTAATTTTCATCAGGACGACTTTTCCGCATTGCGGCATCGGACTTTTCCAAATTGGTGACGTCACGTCATTGTTGAGCAATTGTGACGTCACGCCACGTAAAACAGGTTGTAAGATAGACATTTCTTACACACCCTTTTTTACCTTAAACAACTCTATCTTACACACACGGAAATGAGAGAATAATATAATCTTAAATGGGTCTGTTTAGTGGACAGGGATATCTCAACCCGAGTGTAAGAGTTTGGCTGGTCAGCCAAACTCTTATACGAGGGTTGAGATATCCCTGTCTATGGAACAGATCCATGTTTGATTATTTTTCTCACATACATACAAATAAACAAATTCCAGTTGGAATAAACATCGATCTTATTCTGATCTTATTCTTCCGGCAACCCCCAAAGCCCCAGGGTTGAGACGAATGACTCCCCATTCACAACAACTGTATGATAATACCGAAACAATAAAATGACATCACGTCGACATCAAATTATTATGACGTCATAGCGCGTGTCAGCTGTCTTTCCCTACACCTTGTAAGATAAATAGAATATAATAATATAATAATAATAATCTTTATTTAACGTCGTGTACAATTATCAACAACAAACATAAACTCTGTAGAGCTTTTATTACGACGCCGCTAAGGGAACAAATGGTGTTTTCGTGGTGGAGGAAACCCACGGGGGAAAACCACCGTGCCATCGGAGGGATAACAACTAACCCCATCAGACTTCACTCTCTTTTTTCCACCACCGGTGGGGATCGAACCGAAAATTCTTGGGAGAGCGAGTGGTCTGAAACTCACGCTTGATTGTACACAGTAGTACAATGACTGTGCACGTTAGCGATCACGGCTACCGCCCCGGGCACCCACCTTCCCCCACCTTGAGGGAGTGACCGAGAAATCTCCAACCGGGGTTAGACAACCAAAAAAATCACTCTGAAGGTTGGAGATTTCTCTGTTACACCCTCAAGGTAGGGGATAAATATTTTTCTCCCATCCTTTTATTTCAGTCACAGCTCCACCGACAGTAGTCTGCCATGTTTATAAACAAAAACACATGTGGGGTGTGCATATCGTCATTCACTTTTGATGACGTCACAATTACCGAAGACGCATTTGAAGGACAACACAATTGAACACGTGCTAATCGGCACGAGGCTATCTCCCTCTAGGGGTTAACAAGCTGATCCTTCCAGGCTAAAACGGGAGACACACATGTGAAGGGTGGGAGAAAGTGTTTTCTGATATCTAAAAAAGGAATAGGAATGCACCTGTAAAGGGTGGAAGAAAAATGTCAAGGTCAGGAAATAGATCATGAAATGTTAAGGAAGTTTTTCAATCTAAGATATAAATTGTTCATCGAAAGCTAAATCAATATTAAAAAGTTTTAACATCCAGAAATCAAAACACACAGGGAAATCTGACTGTGCTATTGCTTGACAATAGTCAAACTTATTTAGTATGGATGGTAAAGTGACGAAAGTAATATGACGGTGGTCGAGTTGCAAGGTAGTTATACAAACCATGTTCCCTGGCAACGTGGCGTGCCATTGCACCGCTCTGAGCAATTATCGTGCCATCGACCTCCAGGATCGGAATTTGGCCTAGTGGCAATGCTGTAAAATCAAAAGTGCATTCGATCAATATGATATTAATATAATCATATATTCAGATTTATTTGTATCAGACCTATGGCCCGCATGCAACATCAATGTAACTTAAATCACGATAATCAGTATCACATACTGTGGTACTGTGAGTCATTAAAATAACTTCCTGTGTCGCTCTCAGTCAGCATTATCACTTCCTGTGTCACTCTCAGTCAGCATTATCACTCCATTTTTCACTCTCAGTCAGCATTATCACTTCATGCGTCACTGTCAGTCAGTATTATCACTTCATGTGTCACTCTCAGTCAGCATTATCACTCCATTTATCACTCTCAGTCAGCATTATCACTTCCTTTGTCACTCTCAGTCAGCATAATCACTTCCTGTGTCACTCTCAGTCAGCATTATCACTTTCTGTGTCACTCTCAGTCAGCATTATCACTTCCTGTGTCACTCTCAGTCAGCATTATCATTTCATGTGTCACTCTCAGTCAGCATTGTCACTTCCTGTA